GCAAAAATGATATTGAGAGTCTTGTACAGCGGGCTGGAGAGCTTTTCGTTTATGCTACCACTATATGTCTATTTCTTGGTGAAAGAAAGCCTCCGCCTCCTCGAGAGCGCCTAAAGATGGTTCTACAAAACAACGCCTCTTCAGCGTCGGCTCTGGAGAACCTCGACCAAGTATATATCCAAATTCTTCAAGAGGCAGTACCGAAGACCTACTCGACGCATGACAAAGTGGAATTTTGTTCGCGCTTTAGAGTCATCGTTGGCTCTATCGTGAGCCTGTTCAGCTCACTCTCGGTCAGCTCATTAGCAGCACTACTATTTGAAGAGCTAGACGGCATCGACCTCACGCTGGACAAACTTTGGTCTATCCTCAATGTTCCCCAAACAAAGAGCAATGCCACAATCTCCTTGTTACACCCTTCCTTTCGAGATTTCCTGCTTGACCAGAGACGATGTACCGATCTCGATTTCTGGGTCGACAGCGCCGAAAGGCACCTTGCCCTCACTAAAACTTGCTTGAGACTTATGGCAGCCAGTCTCAAGAGAGACATCTGCGACTTGAAACTGCCGGGAACCCTTATAGGAGAGATAGATCCCGAGATGATCCGAGAACAAATCCCTACAGAGCTCGAGTATGCCTGCACCTACTGGGTTCAGCATCTCGTTCAAGCTCGAAGCAAAATTCTCGGACCCAATCTTCCCACTGGAATCCAGGCTTTTCTTGAGCAGAATATCCTTTACTGGTTGGAAGCACTAAGTCTGCTCGGGAAGATGCACGAATCGGTCTTGATGCTTTCGACGCTACTTGCTTTGGCCCAGGTAGGTAGTCTTCTCTGAGTTATCCTACCATTCTAACATTAGAGGTAGTCTTATGGCGATAAAGGTTTAGTCGAATTAGTGTACGATGCCTACCGCTTCAGCCTAGATCACCGATCTATCATAGAACAAGCACCTCTTCAAACATATCATTCGGCATTGATCTTCAGCCCGTCTACAAGTATAGTTCGGAAGCTCTTTGAGAGCGAAGCTCCACATTGGGTCAGATGTACGTCCAGCGCTCCGGATAGCTGGGGTACACTTTTGCAGACGCTCGAAGGCCATACAGATCTGATTACATCGGTAGCATTCTCGCCTAACGGGCAGAAACTCGCGTCCGGGTCTTGGGATGGGACCGTACATGTATGGGATACAGCGTCAGGAGTACATCTGCAGACATTCGATCACCAATGCGGTGTTCAATCGATAGCGTTCTCACCTCTCGGGCAGAAGCTCGCGTCGGGTTCTCGAGATGGCCTACGTATATGGGACGTAGCGTCTGGATCGCTGATTCAGACGTTTGAAGGCTCCCATATTAGCTCTTTAGCGTTCTCGCCTGACGGGCATAATCTCGCATCATCGTGTGATAATATGATACATATACGGGACGCAGTGTCTGGAAATGTGTTGCACAAATTCAAAGCCTCCTATGTTGATTCGGTAGCATTTTCATCCAATGGGCAGACGCTCGCCTTCAGGTCCGGGTTTCTCAGCGGTCCAATACATGTATGGGACATAGTGTCCGGATCGCAGCTGCAGAGCTCTGAAGGTTCTTTCACATCAGTAATATTCTCGCCTGACGGGCAGAAGCTCATATCTGGGTCTCAGTATGGTACGATACGCATATGGGACGCAGGGTCCGGATTGCCGCTGAAGACGCTGAAAGGTCATCTCGCTCAAGTTGGTTCGCTAGCGGTCTTCGAACAGAAGCTCGCGTCCGGGTCTGAGGACCGAACGATACGTATCTGGGACCTAGTTTCCGGATCGCTGCTACATAAGTTCGAAGGCCATTCCATGCCGGTCTTGTCGGTAGCATTCTCGCCTAATGGGCAGAAGCTCGTGTCTGGATGTGAGGATTCTACGGTACGCGTCTGGGATATGGCATTCGAAACGCCGCTACAGATGCCCGAAGACTATAAGCCGGACATGTTTACATCTATAGCGTTCTCGTCCAATGGGCAGAAAATAGTATCCAGGTCCTTGACCGGCGTAGTACGCGTATGGGACTCAGGGTCCGGACTACTACTCCACAAGCTCGAAGGCCTGGGTTGGGTTTCCTCAGTAGCGTTGTCGCCCGACGGGGAGAAGCTTGCGTACGTCACCTCTTATAAGTGCCATACAATACGGGTGTGGGATGTGGTATCCGGATCGGAGCTGAGGAAGATTGACGTTACCGATCCGTACGATGCTATTAGAAGAGTCCATGTGTCGCTAGCGTTTTCGCTTGACGGGCAGAAGGTCGCATGCACGTACCAAAACTCCTTCCCCAAGCAAGTCAAAATTTGGGACATAGCGTCCGGATCGCGGCTCCAGACGCTAGAAGGCCATCCTGACTGGGTTCGATCTTTCGCTATTTCAACTGACAATCAGCTGGAGGCACTAAGTGCAACCGATCGTTGGGTAACAGTGAACAAGAAGAGAATGATCTGGCTTCCCCCAGCTCGGCGGGCTTCGGCATTCGCCGTATATGGGACCAAATTAGCTATTGGCTCTCCTTCAGGCATTCTGACGATCTTGAATTTGGATTTCAAGCAGATGGATTTCTTCACCGATCCCCCTCCTAGTCTTGTAGATGCAACAGGCAAATTCTCAAACGATATCTACGCCACTGATATGGCCAGTGATGACGACGAAATGGAGTCGTTTGATGATGAAGATGAAGATGATGAGGATGAGGATGAGGATGAGGATGAGGATGATGATATGGATGATGATGAAGATGATGAGGATGATGATGAGGATGAGGATGAGGATGAGGATGATGATGATTAGAATTTATGTGATATGGTTCTACAGCGATAGCTGCAACCGGGCTCATAGTCTGTTGTGCGTACTTGATTGCTTATCTATGGAGTGAAGTTTCTAGCTAGCAGTACTGGAATCTGATAATGCCAAAACCACGCTAATACGACGCAGCGCCGCCATTTAGAAACTGGGGTATAGATGTATTAGCAATTAGGAGTGCCATTCAGACTGACGCTGATCGCCATCGGGGGGTCGTGTTGAGTCGAGTCAATCACAAGTATCATGGTTACGTTACAGCGCGTCTCGTTCATGGATTGAGCAGCTCACTCAGCTAGAGTATCGTAGACCAAATTTGTTGTTGGTATTGCGCTGGTATCGACAACCCTTAGTTTACTGATGATATGCATGAGGAATGATAAGTAAAAGATTTTGGAGATTGGTTCCCGTAAATTGCATAAGTATGTTGTAGATGAATCCGAGCAGGGGGGGAAACCGGGGTGCGTCTCTTGGCTTGGCAAACAGCCCCTATTTGCGTCCGTATCGTCCTCCACCCACCATCTCCACCCAAGATGGACCCAGCAACAGTGACCGGTCTCGTAGTAGCCGAGCAAGTCCTCTCCACCACCGTCGAAGGTGGTGCCATCGCTACCTACGGCCTCGCTCAATCCACCCAACCTCTCAGCGCGACATTCAAACGAGTCTCCAGCCCCGCCTTTCTCCCTCGCTCCAACCACTCTCTCACAGTCCTTGCTGGCCGAGCTTACATCTTTGGCGGAGAGGACGAGAGTGGCAAGTTGGCGGGTGATGAGGTCCATATCGTTACGCTGCCGTTGAAGAAGAAAGGGAATCACGACGGGGAGGTAGATTACAAGTGCGTGCCCAGCCTGGGGGAGGGAGAGGATGGCAAAGTACCGGGTCCAAGAGCGGGACATATGGCGGTTGCTATTGGCGAGAGGATATATCTCTTTGGAGGTAAGGGGACCGATGGACAGGCTATAGAGGAGATGGGGAGGGTGTGGGTGTTTGATACCAATACGCTTGGATGGAGCTACATCGATCCTGCGTCCGACACTGCTACAACATCTGTACCGCCAGCGAGATACCACCATGGCGCCGCGAGTAGCGAGCATCCTCTCCCTCAAACCAATGCGTCAAGCAAAGCGTCTTACAGCGAGCAAATCACATCCACAATCGCCAAGCTCCCCTCCCTCATGGCGAAAGCCTCATCACCACAAGAGCCGCACGGCAGTCTCATAATCTGCTCCGGGCTCTCCGCACCCTCCTCGCCTCTAAACGACACCTGGCTCTTCAACATAACAACCCGCACCTGGTCCGCCCTCCCGTCCACGCCCTCCACCTCCCCCTCTCCACCCAGCATAGCTCTCACGTACAACCGCCTCTACCTCATCACCAGCACCTCAGACTTCGGAAGCGAAATACACTACCTACCCATCACAAAAGAAACATACAGCGATGCAAGAGGAGAGGGAGAAGTGGGCCTGACCAGCTCGAAGAACGAGTGGACGACCCTGCCCTTCCCTACGAATCCCTTCGCGCCGGGGCCCAGACCGAGGAAGGGTGCAGGCTTGATGCCCGTCACGACGGGCAACGGAAGAGAATACCTCCTCTACTTCCTCGGGGAGAAGGCCGCCACGACACAGCCGGCCGAGCCCGCGGAGAAGGAGGAAGAGAAGACCGACAAGGATGAACCGACCTTTTGGTCGGATTCCTACTCCTACCAAGTCCCCGCCATCCCCGTCACCGCGGCCGGGATCAAAGACGCGACGCGCCAAGCTATGGGTATAGCGACTGGGGAGGATACGTGGGCCGAAGTCAAGGTCGAGGCGGGGATCGAGAGTAAAGAGAAGGATAGTGAGGGCAAAGCGCATCCGGGGCCGAGGGGCTGGTTCGCGAGTTGTATAGTGCCCAGCCAGCCGGGCAGTGTGGTGCTTTGGGGCGGGGTGAATGGGAAAGGGGAGACGGAAGGGGATGGGTGGTTGGTTGATATCGGTACTGCGAAGTAATAGGTTTGGGATCTACGGGCTCGTCCCACTGGCATTATTGCATGGTAATGAGGTACGGAAGCTATGATAGATGGATGGCATCAATGTGCCCTTTACCCTACCTACCCAAATAATCCGCGCAAAGCATCCGCTCTAGAAGTAATTCCGTCAAAGTTTCACAAACGCAACGGCTCCTCCCTCTTCCATAACCCCTCGTTCACACCGCCTCGGCGAAACTGACGCTCGGTCGTCCCCCCGCGTTCACGTAGTTGAACGTGGCATACCAGTTCTTCAAAAACGCATCCCCCACCACGTACAGGTCCCCCTGCGGCGCAACGTCCGTGCCCACTATAGCAGCCACGCAGTTCTCCGCGCCCCCATAATCCGCCTCCGCCGTCCCCGTCCCCGTCCCCGTCCCCGTCCTCGCCTCCGTCTCCAACCTGACGGCCAGAGCCTCGTTGCCGATCAAGCGCGCAAAGGACGGGGTCAGGAGGCCGAAGTTGAAATCGAGCGGGTTGATGCCGAAGGACTTGCCGCCGAAGCGGACGGCGGGGATGTAGGCCGCGGGGGTGGCGCAGGGGTAGGCGTAGAAGGTCTGGTCGCCGTCGTCGGCCTCGGCGGAGAGCGGGAAGGCGTCGGGGATCAGGGCGAAGATGGCGGCCGCGGCGGCCGGCGGGGCGAGGACGAGGGTCGTGCCCGTGTCGATGATGGCCTGGCCGCGGGTGTAGGCGCCCGCGGTGGCGCCGTTCACGGTCACGGCGTTGAGCGCGATTTGCCAGTAGCCGGCTTCCGTGACGGGGATTTGCGTGGCGCTGCCTTTGTACCGAGAGGGGTCGCGGCAGCCGAGGCAGAGGGAGCCGCGGTTCGCGGTCCCGGATGCGGCGCGGCCGAGGTGGAAACTGAATTCGGGTGCGGCTTGGGGTTTGGGGGGTCAGCGTTGCGTGTGTGGGAGGGGGGATGGAGCGTTGAGGTACAGCGTGGGGTGAGATCTCTCGAGGTTGGGACTTAGGGATTTGTGCCACGCGTGATGTATAGACGTCGAGGATACCTACCGACTTTGTTTTGCATCATCAGATTCTCGAAGAAGGTGGTGAAGCCGCTGGCCGCGATGGAGGTGAAGCCCATGCCTAGCAGGCCGTCCGAGTTGGAGGTGTTGAAGCCGGATGTCTGCGTCAGGGAGATGAAGCCCTGATTCGCCGCGGTCAAGCCGGCTACGGTGATTGAATCGGTATAATCATCGCCTTCGACGTATCCGGAGCCGTACTGGACGGCCGTGGTTCGGTTTTGGGGTGTGCCCCCTTCGTCGTACTTATCGGTGAAGGGACAGCCTTCGTCGCTTGTGCACTGGGGTCCAGGGATAAAGATGTCGGAACTGCCGGTATCGAATTGTACGGTGAAGAATTGTGCGGTGATGCCGTAGCCCACTTCCATGGGGCCATAATACTGCTCATCGAAATCAGGGGCCTCTACTTGATCTAGGAGGTTCTCGGTAGCCAATCTCCGTTGCAACGAAGCATTGGCGGAAGCTCCAGGGATGTTGAACCTCGAATGATACTTGTTCAACGTTTTCCGAAGTGACCTCAAGAGGGCGGGGCCGTTGACCTCGCCGGTGGAGCGAGCGAAGGTACGAGGAAGTGGCAAGGCGATCTTGTTCAAACCATCTGCTTGAGGAGCTGGAGCTGCCGCGATGAGGCCGGCCAGAAACAGAAATGCGAGCATTGCGCAAGGACAAGACGACAGGTCAATGTTGGCGAGTCCTTCGGTCTTAAATTGCCAGGAGACCCGCATTCCAGAAGGGCGGACAGCATTCTTCAGACGCGCGGACTCGTGATGAAGTTGGGAGTTTCGAGACCACAACGCAATTGGTACGCAAGTAATCAAAACCTCTGCAGTTCGAGATATTGGATTTTATTCTTCCGTCGATGTAGTCTTCATGCTTGAAAAAAAAAGACGCTACCCACGAGTAAGACTTGCTAAAGTTTAACCGCTAAGAAAGGAAAAGACATCCTCGTCAATGTGAAATCTCCGATATTTAGGGATTGGTACCACTTCAACTGCTCCTTTTTGCACACCTCGCCCGCCGGCAAACTTGCAGCAGTGGGACTTCAAATTTTGACCTATTTTCTTACCCATAGTCAAACTTGACAGAGCCGCAGATCGACAGGATCGGCAATTTAGAGCTGACGTATGATGCTTACTGTGCTGCAAAATCGCCGAATCTTGGATTGAAAGCGTTTTGAAGTCTAAAGAATTATTCGAATCTGTAAACACCTGAATCAAGTAATAAGATGTCGAACAATATCGTGATGCCATCGGAAGAAAGTACGTTCAAATCATATACCCCGGCATTGGCCAAAGCCTACGCAGCTAGTCGAGGATCCTACCATGAGAACCTGTTCAAGGTCATACTCGATAATCACAGATCAACTGGAGGAGCCATGCAAGTCCTATTAGACGTGGGCTGTGGTCCTGGCAACTCGACAAGGCCGTTGGCCAGGCACTTTGGCAGCGCTTTTGGCATCGACCCAAGCCCAGAGATGATCAACACCGCGAAGAATTTCAGCGCCGAGTCCCCGGAAGAAACAGCCAGTGGCAAGAATATAACCTTCTGTGTCGGCAGGGCAGAGGACATGAATGGTCCGTTTCGAAAGCCGGGGCAAGGGGTAGATCTTTTGACGTCCGGGATGGCGGTACGTGTGGTCTTTGCGAACAAGCGCCACCGTCTTAATGTCGTCTAGGTACATTGGTTCGACATGCCACGATTCTGGTCTTCTGCTGCTGCTTGCCTCAAGCCCGGTGCCACCGTAGCTTTGTGGACAGCACCTTCCCGGTATTGCCGTAGGTCTTTCTTCTACGAATTTGATACGCTTCCCTTGATTGCACCGACCTGACCGAGCAGATCCCTCCACTCCAAATGCTGCCAAGGTTCAGGAGGCAATGTCCCGTCTAGAGCGCGAGAACCTGGCTTCGTACGAGCTGCCAGGCAACCGCCTCGCCCGTGACTCTTATGACCACCTTCTTCTTCCATGGAATTGCATTCCTCCCGTCGACGCTTTCTTAGAGAGTGGTTTCACAAGGCTCGAATGGGACCGCGATGGGAAGCTCTCTGACCCTGAACACTTCTTTCTGGGAGACAAGGCAGTCACGATCGAGAGGATGCAGGAGATGTTGAGTACTTCTAGTATGGTGACAAGATGGAGGGAGACGCATCCTCAACTGGCTGGAACCGAACACGACGTTGTGGTGAAGATGGCGCGGGAGATGAGGGAGACTCTGGGAGGGGAAGAGTTGGTCATTGGCCGGAGCTGCGTGTTACTCTTGTTTAAAAAGACCGGCGTACAGATTGTATAAGCATACTTTCTTCCTAACAACACCTGAAAATTTGTATGCGCAACGACACCGAAGGCAAGTACACCACATTCGACGTCAATAATGACTTCCAGAATAGGCCCCGGAGTATCGCATATACGTACGAACTTATCAACAATAAAGAATAGAAGCGAGTCATTAATAGTTGTTGTCGCAGAGTACCCGAAATTCGGCACTCAAGTTGGCAATTTTTCGAAACCCCATATACATCTCGCTGATTCTCAGAGGTATACTCTTGAAAAGTAGTATATTCGATAGAGAATATGTGAGAGTATAAGCCTGTGCGATATTATCACAGTTTAGAAAAAAAGTTAACGCAAAATTTGTATGGGGCGCGCAGACGTGCCACCCTAAGGCTGCGAAGTCAGCGAATTAACCCAAAGGGGCTTAGCGGTCTTGGCACGTCTGAGGGACTGAGGCAAAGTGGTGGCGGCATGGTTTGTGTAGGCTTAGTCAGCAAAATTCGTTCATTGTTGGTGGTAACGAACTCCTCCTTTGCTCTCCTCTCCACCCTCTCGACTGGTACTTCCACTTTCTGGACGTCTTCCTTGCCGTGGGCGCTGCCCATTTGCGCGCTACTGCCACTCCGAAATCGGCGGTTCGCGCAGTCTACAGGAACAGAGACGTTTGGATAGGAGCACACTGGCGCAAACGCATTCTTTGGGGCGTCGCAACGATGACTTCCGACGAAAAGCTCACCCTCGTCCAGGCAATCATCGAGACCACAGACAAGCATGACTTCGTATCTCCCCAGCTGTTCGCTGACTCTGCTTCCCAACGAGAAAGACAAGAGGTGGAAGCCGCCCGGACATATATCCTTCAGCAAGCCTTTCCTACCATCCAGACCCTTACGCCCCTGTGTAACACAAAAGCTCTGAGCTACACAATACGGCTAGATACGGTTGGTAGCTTCCTGAAGCCGCAGCCTCACATGCTCATCACCCAAGATCCGGGAGGCCTCCACGTTGCGGAAGTCAATTTCCATACCCACGGCTACGACACTACAATCGTTTACAAGGACGTCGGCATCAGCCAGAGACTTGCTTTACAAAATCTACAAGAACAGAACTTCGAATGTTTGATCAATGGCAAGCCACATCTGTGGCACCCCCTTGGTCCTAGTAAAAGCGTATTTGAGTTGACAGAGGAAGCAAAAAAGAGGGTCGCGCTGTTCGTATACGCGGAGGGTATGGCTCAAAGAACAGGCTCTACTTCGGCCAATGGTATGCCTGTCCAGGAACAAAAGATAGGAGAAGTGCATGTCATGGAAGACTTCTTGCATGAGCCAGTCGCACTGCAGCAGACACTTTTCTCCGCTATTGTGGTCGTTGAGCAAGCAAAGAGGAGGGCGACTAGTATAGCGAGCTGGGTGCCCCCTCCGGCAAGCAAAACACATTTTCCAGGACGGCGCCGAAGTAGACAGGATGGTAAGAGTATGTAGCAAAAGTCATGCATAGAGGGCCATCCGAACTTTAATTTTTTCTAAGTCCTACAGTGGAGAAATTAATGATTCTCCGTAAAGTTCTCCAGTCAGCCCTATAGGGCTACCACTGTAGGACTTGGAAAAATTGAAGTTCGGATGGCCCTCTATGCATGACTTTTGCTACATACTCTTACTGGGAAAGGCTAAAAGCGTGGTTCCAAACCTCCGGGATATATTATATCCTATTGCCAGATCAGAAGCTCGGTCCTCAAACCGCAGAGGACGACGGCACTGCACGGGAAGTCTCCCATGAAGCCCACATTTTTCGCTCTACCCATCAACCATTCAGATGTTCTTCCCCCAAATCCCAGAAGTCAGACATTGCACCGGAATTTTACCCACACTCCGCGGCCATATCACTGGAAAATAGGCATGGAGGTGTCATATATGGTTTGATTTGGGATTTCGTTTGCTAATTTATTGATACCCATGGGTTCGAAACCGCTTCTTGTTTCACAACGTACAGTCTTCACCCTAAGTCGTTGCTGTGTTTTTGGGCTCGTTGAAGTGTGCACATCATTCTGGAAGACTTTCATGTTGCCTTCGCACGTAGTATACGCTCCCACGAAATCCTTGGTACAGCAAGATTGCAAAGCGCTCTGTTGCTCAGATATTTGTCGCGTGAGCGCATCAGCCTGCCAGCTACTCGTATTCCAGGCTAACGATGTTACCTCTCGCACTCCTGAAACACTTGATCGTGCCATGCGGCGTCAGAACTCCAGCATGCAGGCTTGCAGAACCATCATGACCCACAATCCTGGGTTTCCTATCCTTCGATGATGTGCCTGAGATTCAGTGAACGAATGTGCTGATTTGCTCAAAATTTCAGGAAAGTAATGTGTGCAGGAATCCTGATAAGCACTACTGACTAGCTTGCATATCATTGGGGCAGGAACAAAGCTGGCGGTTGGCGGCATCTCCGACTGGCTATCATCATTGACTATTATTGGCCTTTTTGTATCGTTCCCCGGTCCAAAGGCTGCTAAGGTTGCAGGAAGGTTGTTACCGAATTTATTAATTTACAAAGCGTTTTCGCTCAGATTTCGCTTCGGATGGCTTACTCAACATGGGTGATGGTGGTGGCGCATGTGCTCTGAGTGGTCACACTTCAACGTTCCCCGCCCCTTTTCGTTCCACAGGACCCAAGATCAAATTAATGTCATTGGATGTCGACGAAGCGTCTGGCCCTCCCCGGTTAAAATCAATTATCTGCTGAGCTAAGAACAGGTTGAGCCTAAAGAGGGGACTATACCACCGAGGGCGGAGTGTGTTTTCCCCCTATTATCTATCATTCATGCAATACCTATCTGTTTGAGGTCTACGCGCTGTAGCCTCCGCCTTATCATGCTTGCTGTGACTACGGCCGATGCATCACCATAACATGTATCCCTTGCTGAGAATTTGTCCACATTCACACGAGTCGAGACACTTGACCAAGTATCTGGAAGGCCCCTTCCTACGCTGACCTGCTGCTGGTAGCAAACATGACTGGGCATTATTCAATAGCTTTGAGAAGATCTTCCGAGAGCTGAGGACCCGGGAATTGCGTGCGCCTGGATCAGGCTTTGATCTTCGCCATACATACGCACTAGATGCGCATCATGACAGTTCATTTCATTCTATAGTACTCATATGCCGCAGCTGACTCGGTACTTATTTCATGTCCTTGGCTGGCTTTTCTCCTTCCCAGTGCAACCATTACGAAGGACTGTCATACCAACAAATACCTCCGGTATTCCAGATGAGTGTAACATCATATCCTTTCGTATCGGGCACAGTCTATATAACCACAGCCACATTATCAGCGTTGTCTGGACCCCATCGTTCTCTTCGAGCAAACGGGCTGGCGGAAATTAATCGTTGACGCCTCAAGTGCTGATGAATTTGAAACATCTCTCAAGTAAGACCAGGCCTCGTGGCCGGCTGTCTTCGTATACCAGATCAGCGAGATTGGTCCTAACCATCGGGCTAAGTAGGATTTCTCTTTCAATGCTTCTTGTTGTATGGGGCGAAGTACTCCCTTGGGCTGTTGGCAATCTCTGCACGTGTAAGCATGGACGGACATAAATATCCTGATGGGACGTACGTACTTGCTCCATTATCAAGTATCATTCCTTACCTCTTAGTGCCTTTGAACAACTCTTCTCATAGCGTCTATTCTTTCTCTTCCCACAACACACTGTTTGAAGGACCACCCACGCTCTCTACACACCCATTCATTCTACAACATGCTGCGCTTCATAGCAGCACCATCAAGCCTAATACTCCTGGCAGTTCTCCCCTACGCCAATGCTCTACCCACCTTGACTCCAGGAGTGCCAATTGAGGGAGGCGCCAATGGTGGTGTGGTCGACACATCTTTCGAGAACATTCAATGCTCCAGTAGCATCACAGGAACATCATCAAGCCAACAGGATCGCTGGACGGCTGCCCAAGGAGACATCGCTTCGTCGACACTGGGCCGCGAGTTCACATTCAACCTTGCGGTACGAACGCAGGCACAGGGTCGTTACGACAACTTTGCATCTATCTTCTTCAGTGGTCCAGCAGGAGCAAACTTGAATTGCGGCATTGAGGACAGCGACTGTGGGACTGGGCCTCCTATTGTGTCGGGCGGCTGCCCAGGCATGTACGCAGCTGGCTGGGAAATCTTGACCTCTTTTACTTCGCTTGATCACGTGAGTAGCCATGCCCCCGCGTCAACGACCACATCATCTAACCTGTGGTTGCCAGGTTATGAACAATCTCGCAACGTCTTTCGGGACGGCTCTCAATGCACTCAACATCGCTCAAGCTACAAGCGATTTCTTCCCTAGCCAGGCTTCGGTTTTCGCTGATCAAGAGATCGTGAGCGCCGTCGCCGGCATTTTAGGACTCATTGGGGGTCTAGTGGGGCTGGGCGAAGAAACAGCTCTCACTGGTGCCTTGATCAGTGGTATATCAGGAGGAGCATTAGGCTTTGCTGGGACAGCCCTCGGAGCTCCTCCGGCTACGCCCGGCAATTTGACCACTGCCTACAGCCAAATCCATGATACCACCCTCAAGGCGTACAACGATTTCGCCGAAGCCATCTTTACGAATGGATTTGTTGATAGCACAGATGTCACAATGAGCTCACTTATGGCGAATGGCGCACTTTTGGTCGAGCCTGACTTCAATGCTCAAATTGTGACGGTGGAGTTCCAGAAGTCTGTTTATGCACAGCTTGCCGTTGCCGCTTGGGCACAAACGACGGGATTGACTCCATTCATCACGTATGTTCTTTCTCGGAATCCTATGATCAACCATCGACTGACCTGTCCTGCAGCTGGGACGACGCGGATTGCGATAGTGTCGCCGCGCTCTACATGAAGCAACCGACCAACGTGCCAGGCGCTGTGGTATCTGCAGACTTCAGCCAAGTCAACGCCACCATCAGCGGCCGCTGCTACTACCTTCTTGGAGCCCAGACGATAGATGGATGCAGCGGTCCCACGGACAAACGCAGTCTGGACAAACGAGTCTTGGTGCCAGGTGGAACCCAAAACCCTCAACCGGACAGTGGTACCCCCGGCTCCGGTGGCTCCAGATCCTCTTGCTGGAACATCGATGTCCTACCCGGCGGCACCAATGATGTGCTCGACGGTACCGCATACAATGGCCTCCTCGTCGCGGATTTCTTAACGGGCGCAGTGGCGGGATGGACGGCCAACGGTGACACCAACGGATATCCTCCCATTTCGCCAAGCACGACGAGTTACCCACAGAGTATACAGGATGCGGGGTTCATAACGCAGATTCCGGTCTGCGATTATCGGCCAATCAATGGACAAGCGAGCAAGGCTGCGGGGAAGAACTGTCCAGATCTGACAGCTACAGCATCGTGAATTGAATTATTCTACTTGTAACGTCTTGGCTTGCATTTGTGGACTCGTTGTTTGGGTGGATGACCGGTGCAAATGAATACTTATCGCGCATCTATGTTCCTTGATTGACATGATTAGTTTTGAGTAGTCAAGATTTACCACTGATATTTTGTACACCTCGTTTCTAGCTTACTTTACTCTGGCCATACTGTAGCTCCATTCCCACCTCACAGCGAGCCATCAAAGACTAGACCCAGAGCGTCAAGGCTTATTGATGACGAAGCAAGCCGATCTTCTCTCCACCAATCGGACCACGGGAGGAGGAGGACCCTGGCAGATCATTGCTCGAGGTCTCCCTCACATGAATCATTGACTGTCACGTATTTTGCTATTATACATCTTATACATCTTATACATCTCTCATTTACAACATCACTTGTATATAGCGAGCCGAGTTACTTCTATAACCTTCTTTATCTAATATACCTAATCCACAAACATGGCGAAGCAGTCAGGCAAATCCTTCCGCTCGTACGTCCAGGCCTTCTCTAAGTTCTCTTTAACCCCAAGCGTTGCGCCTTCGACCTATCTTGCAACTATCCACATCCCCTGTAAACACGTCTTCAAGTTCCCTTCTCAGCGGGCAGTAATACTGATGCCCATTTCTCGCTCCTCTCCAGCTTCCTCGGCGTCGAACCTTCAAAGCCCACCACCAAAGACAGCGTCCTCGTGATCGTCGATGCCCAAAACGAATATGATCACGGCCTCCTCGCCATCTCGGATGTCAAATCATCTCGTGCGATCATCGGCGATGTGCTGAAGAAATACCGAGATGCGAATGGCGATGTGGTGAGCTTTCGAGCTATCTTTGTCTTCCCTCCTCCCAATGAAAACCCTTCCTCTTTTCCCAAATGCCAAACAGCCATATCTGAACATGTTTCAGGTACACGTCCGACACAGCACACCCGACGGCGCTCCTCTGTTCACCCCGAAAACCGAACTGGCCGAAGAATTCGAAGAATTGACCCAGGGCGCCGGTGCCTCGGAGAAAGTAGTCCACAAGCAGCATCCCAGCTCCTTCACCGGCACAGATCTGCACGAGCATCTGGACAAGTTGGGCAAGAAGAAGATCGTCCTGGCTGGTATCATCTCCTCATAGCTACCTATTCCACTCCCCTTCACACCAGAGCTGACGGGTGCGATCAGGATACATGGTGCGCCACTTTTTCCCCCTACTTTGACGGATCCTCCCGTCCTGTTGGTTCTCTGACATCCATTCACCCATCGCAGGCCCACGTCTGCATCTCCAACACCTCGCGCGCGGGCGCGGAGCTCGGCTACGACGTCTCGGTCCTCGCCGACGGCATCGGCGATCGCGACATCCCGGGTGCTTCGGCGAAGCAATTGGTCGATGTGAGCTACATCTCTCCTCTCCTCTCCTCTCATCTTCTCCGGTATTCCTTGCTTGTGCTGGGGCCGTGCTTATAATCAACGATTATCATAGACTACGCTGGCGGAACTGGGGGATGTTTCGGCTACTGTCATCCACAGCGAGGACTTGTGAGCCTGACGGAGGGCCATGTGTTATTGACCCTGCTTGCCTTGGTCATTGGAAGCATATGCGCTGTGTCAATTGGAGGAATTTTCATTCCAAAGTCCGAATATCTATCGAAATCTGTAGCAAGTAATCAACCACTTGATCTATCGCTGTCACCGAGGAATGTACACCGGGACCCCGACATCTGGGTCTTTTCCCTCCAAAAGCCCGCCTCCGTACAACCTACCCCCTTCGCCTGTTTTCGCCCACGATGCAGTAAACCACGGTGTGATGTCAGGGCACCCAGCAACCAACACCCCACCTCCCCCCCTTCCCCCAGCTACATCCGCAGCACAATCACTCATAAACCCAACCCCTTCATAACCGACCGGCCCCGTACCTCCAACCCACCCCTCTCCTCCCTCAGTCCGTGGCCCGAATACGCTTGCTTGCTTGCGAAGTCAACAGGCACGTAGCAACATTTCTCAAATCCATCAAGACAGACACCCTCGTTAGTGTGGGATGTGCTATGTGCCTGGCACGCTGACTAACTTCTGCAGAGGATCCGTCATGGATCCTGCATTGCTGGAGAGGAATGGATGGGTTGGCGAGGTGGTAAGGGTCGTGCTGATGTGGGTATTGTGATGGCGGGTTGCGGGGTTGACACGTGTGATTGGTCGATGGGTGTTTAGAGTGTTGACGTTTTTGATATTGGGAAGAGATGGGGGGTTGTGCAGACATGCGTCGTTTAGGGAAGAGCGGGGAAGTGTGTAGACATGTATTTTTTGGGGAAGAGTGCGGATATATGTATACATGCATTTTTTAGGGAAGAGTGGATTACAGTTATTTTACTTGAGCGTTGATCGTTTTTGGATATGAGAGTCTTGTTCACAAGACGGTCTTCCCCAACGTGAGACTCTTCCCCAACAGGAGAACGTTCCCCCAATAGGAGAATGTTCCCCGACACGGAACTCTTTTCTAATATGAGACTCTTCCCCAACATGAGACTCTTCCCCAACATAGAAATCTTCCCCAACATGAGGATCCTACCACAAAAGATGAAGCGCAAAAAATACATCATAACAAAGACATTAAATATCACTCACAATCCCATAAGCTGCTCTAAAACGCCCAATGAAACCCCACCCCCTTTCTCATTTTTGCCATCTCAAAACCCATCGCCGATGACAATATTGATATATAATGAAGATATATGTAGATATTTATGCGTAATACCTTAATCAATGATGAAATTCTCCCCCTTTCTACCTGATGTAAATCCCGTTGCTGATACCGATATATTGTATATAATTTAAGTAGACGAAAATATATATACGTATTACCTCAATGATTAAATTATAAGATTATAACGATTTCACTTAGATATAAGCATCTAAGCTAAGATTAAAACGATATTACTTAAGTATAAGAATTTAATCTAAGAGAGAGTTATCTATATTAATAAATAGAAAAGAGAAAGAATTTATAAATAATAAATGTAATAAGAGATTATAAGAATCTAAGCTAAGATTAAAACGATTTTACTTAAGTATAAGAATTTAATCTAAGAGAGAGTTTACTAGTAAGTAGATATGAAAAAGAATAGATATATAATAAATAAAGTAAGAAGTATAAGCATCTAAGTTGAGATTAAAACGATTTCACTTAAATATAAGAATTTAATTTAAGAGAGAGTCTATTAGTAAATAAATACGAAAAAGAATAAATATATAACAAACGAAGTAAGAGGTATAAGGATCTAAGCTGAGATTAAAACGATTTCACTTAGGTATAAGGATCTAAGCTGAGATCGAAACGATTTCACTCAAGTATAAGGATCTGACCTGAGAGAGAGTCTGCTAGTAAGTAGATATGGAAAAGAATATATACATAATAAACGAAGTAAGAGGTATAAGAATCTGAGCTGAGATCGAAACGATTTCACTTAAGTATAAACATTTAATCTGAGAGAGAGTCTGCTAGCAAGTAGATACGGAAAAGAATAGATATATAACAAACGAAGTAAGAGGTATAAGGATCTGAGCTGAGATCAAAACGATTTCACTCAAGATAAGAATCTAAGCTAAGATAAAACGATTTTACTTAAATATAAGGATCTAACTTAAGAGAGAGCTATCTACATTAGTAAGTAGATATGGAAAAGAATAGACACATAATAAACGAAGTAAGAGGTATAAGGATCTGAGCTGAGATTAAAACGATTTCACTCAAGTATAAAGATCTGATCTGAGAGAGAGATTACTTGCAAGTAGATACGGAAAAGAATAGATATATAATAAACGAAGTAAGAGGTATAAGGATCTGAGCTGAGATCAAAACGATTTCACTTAAGCATAAGGATCTGACCTGAGAGAGAGTCTGCTAGCAAGTAGACACGGAAAAGAATGGACATATAATAAACGAAGTAAGTATTACTCACGGTCTAATAGGCTGCTACATACTCTAACGACTAAGGAAATCCTCCCTTCATTTTTTGGCCACTTCAGACCCCATCGCCTACACCAATGAAGAACGAAAGAAAAAAAGAAAGAATGCATGCAGGCGAAAATGCAAATCAACCATCGCACTCTATGCACCAACCATGCCCACCATGCCACATTTATCTTGTCCTGCCCACCATGCCACACCAATCCTGTCCTGCTCGCCATGCCACACCAATCCTGTCCTGCTCGCCATACCACATGACCCAACCGACCCATTCACAAATCCTTGGCCGCGAACCCAAGCTGAGGGCCTCCAGACGCGTCATCGAAGACGACGAACTGCGACTTGAGGAAGACATCACCGAAGATGGACTGCCCGATGCCGTCGTTGCTCTGGAGCCCGCCGAAGCAGCTCCCGCTCTCGGAGGCGGGGGCGTAGTTGAGGTAGCTACCCGGGACCACGGCCGCGTAGCCTTCGATCTGGAGCGTGAGGTCGGGGAGGGCGGCGGAGCAGGCGAAGATGTACCCGCCGTCCGTCTGGCTGTTGGAGGATCCGGAGACCTGCGCGTAGTAGGCGGAGACGAGGTCGTCGGGGAGGAGGAGGAGGGACGTTCCCGTGTCGGCGATGGCGGGGATGCTTTCGCTGACGGCGGATCCGGAGCCGACGGCGTACCCGCTGGAGGTGAAGCCCCAGAACCCCTGGGAGTTGTCCACGGCGGTGTAGGTGATGTCGCCCGTGTACTCGCTGGAGTCGACGTAGCCGAAGTTGTAGCTACCGGGCTCGCCCTTCTTCAGGTTGGCGGTGAAGAGCGGGGATTCGAGGCTGGACTCGGAGTTGGCGAAGAAGGTCTGTTGCTGGTTGGGGGTGACGGTGTTGATGGAGCTGAAGGCGAGGCCGAGGAGGCCATCGCTCTGGTCTTGAGCGAACTCCGAGCTGATGGTCTCGGCCAATTCGACGGCCTGGCCGGTGACGGTGGTACCGCCGATGTTGACGACGTCAGTGTAGACGTTGCCGCTGGCTGAGCTGCCGTCTCCGTAACTAATACTCCACGTCTCGCCGGTGTCGACTTTGGAGGTTTTGGAGCTGGCGGGATTGTAAATGTTGTGGCCGGTCTGCTCGTTTGCGGGCAGCTCGGATGAGAAGACCCATCTACCGTCTATTAGCAAAGATGGCAAGCGCAAGACGACATCGAACATACAGATCAGACGATCCAGTGTCAAAGTCCAAGTTCAAAGTCTGACCGCCAACAGTGACAGACTCGAGATAAGCCTGATCGTATTGCTCCGGGCTGGCAACCACCGTTCCATCGTTGGTTCCCGCAGCCTTAGAAGCGGCCGCGTTGACTTTGGCTGGTGCATTCGCTCCAATCCTAGCATATTTCCCGTAGACGCGCGCCAGGGCAATAGGACCGGCTATCTTCTTGCCTTGGAGCTTCGGTGGACCCTGAGGGACGGTGAATTTGGCGGCGCCTGTCACATTGCTTGAACGCTTGGAGACCAATGGATAAGGAGCAGCGGCTACAATTGACGCAAAGGCCGAAGCGGCGGTGACTTGTTGGAGAAGATGCATTCTGGTGATGGACGAGGACAGTACTGGAAGTGCAGATCAAGAGTCTGTGATGCTTGCGATAGAAGATGGGCGAGTGAATGATACTGTTGCTGTGCTTTTCCAGAGGGGACTGATGGCCCCTTTATAGGCGTTTGGGTGTCCATCACGGCGATGTTCCCCCTACTGTTCGATGAGCGCATTGCGTCCTTGGTACTCACAGGCTGCCAATCGAAGGCGTGTTCGGAGTAGAGAGACACTGCACCGGCTGAATGATGTGCATAGGGGAAGGAGAGTCGGAGCAAGGTTCGGGGAACGGTGGACCAACTTGGGCTCAACCACAGGTTGCAAGGTAAATTGGGTTGCCGTTGTCAAAGACAGTCCGATTGATGCTGAAATCCAATGAGAGGATCCTATCACTTTCAAAATGGGAGACCCTATCGTCGATCCAGCGAAATTTCAATATTTCCAAAATCCCCATGGAATAACACATCCAGTGGGGGGCAAGAGGCTGAAGTTGGAAGGTGGCGGGAGGTGCGTTGTAATTGCTTTGTTCTTCTCATTGGCACAGGCTCTGCAGTAGAACCAAAGGCTATCAAAGATTCAGGGATCCAGGGGGCTCTTGCGGCCGGAAGCTTGAATCAAGGCTTGTGAGTGGATGCTATAAAGGGACTACTCAACGAGGAAATAAGGGAGCAGATCTTGAGATAAAAGGGAAGGCCAGCTATCTCGGTACGCTCCGCGCCTTCCCTTCGTCCACACCCTGTATCTTGTCACCTTCCCCATTGGGCAAGCGCGCTTTCACATGGGCGGTGCGCAAGCAGGATATCTCTGGCGAATCGGAACTTTAGCCGGAGTTATGTACTTGCCTCGGTATATATAGATGTACGGTACTCTACCCAACAAGGGGTGGCCCGCGGAAAATAACTTTGCCGCCGGGAGATTCATATGCAGAGCATACCTCCGATTTCGGGTACCTGCAGAAGGGGCAGGTAAGCCTTTGTCTCCCTTGCGATGCTATCGATCACCTCGGTATACCGGTATCAGTATCGCTGCACAGACACGGAGTAGTCATTGATCCCCACCTCGGAGCAACGCCCCCACAGACAGCAGATCAGTAGATGATTGGGACGGCATACCGACTCAGCAAAGCAGAGAACTCAGAGGCGCAGCAAGGCCGCCACTCGGTCACAAGAATCCCACGTCCTGCATCCTGCATCCTTCATCCTCGCTGAGTGCTCCGCGTTGTTGTTTTCTTTCGATGCTTGATCAAATGCGGTGATGGCCGACATTTGATTAACATTAGCAGAACCAACATTCGTAGGTAGATTGGCAGGTCACGCGAGGAAAATAGAAAATAGCTGAATGTTTTCGCAATGCTTTGGAAATCAGTCTCACGTAGATGGCAAAGTGATCTGAGTGCTGGGAAACACGACCTCTCAACTATCCCGCAGCGTGTGCCTTTGATCTGTCATGATTCATTCCGACTTGGTACCTCCACCAAACGCCGATGACTTCTGAATTGTTCATCCTAGACCCTTGCGCTCGCAGCTTCACCTTTCTGGTCTCGTAGTCCAGAAAGAGCATTACAACACCTTAAAACTTCAGCGGTTGGTTCAGATCCACCTGCGAGCCAACGGAGAGTTGGGGTATCTGTTTGTATTTCCCCAACAATAATTGCCTCGTATTTTGCAAAACCTGGATGACCAGGTTAGTATCCACTCAGACCTATACCACAACGATGCACATACCTCAACATAACTCTGGCCCGGCCTCGAGTAAAGCGTCTCCAACAACGCCCAACTCATAGCTCCCACATGGCTTCCCGCAATATTTGCATCTGCACTCGTCTGATCGTCTCTACATCCACTGAACATGAACACACTCCTTCCCTCATGCGCCCAATCCTCCTGGAAATGCTCTTCCCCCAATCCCTCCTCCTGATGTTCACCCCTATGCTTCAGCCCCGAGAAGAAAGATTGTGCACCGGCGAACAAAGCTTTCGCGTCGTTGATTTTACTAGCCGAGAAGCCACCCTGTAAGAGACCTTGGGCGTGAGCCAACAGGCTGATGCCTTCCTTGACGCTGTCGACTAGGGTGACGTTGCCGTCGGAGTCTGTGCGGTAGACGAAGGGAAGTTCGATGGCGGAGCCTGAGTGGCAGCAATCAAATACTACGAAAAGACTGCTGGTGGGATGAAGCTTCGACACAAGATGTCGGTGTAGGGTATCACTGTCCAATTGCCCTTTCGTCTGATAGTCGACAGGGACAATCGTATCATCGTATCCGCTTTCTCGGTCACCATCGGGATCTTTGACCTGACCACCGTGGCCAGAGTAATGTAGGAAGCATTGTGTATTTGGCTCACTGACGAGCCAGTCCATTGCGGCCAGGATGTTGTGGCCCGAGGCGTAGAAGGGGCCCTGGCGGTCGTCGGTGAGGATGACCATACTGCGCTCATCGGTGGGGTAGCCGCGGGAGATGAGGAATTGAGACTATGAAGGTCTCAGCATATCATGGTTGGGGGGTGCGTGGTGGTCCGAAGTACCATGTTGCGGACATCTTGCCGGCAGCCTCGAAGGGCGCTTTGCTGGCCCTCGTAGTTGATGCCGATGAGGAGGGATTTTCGGTGGGTGGTACGAGGACCATAACTGTTCTGGTAGCCTTGGGCATTGTATTGTGACATCTTGCTCAATGCTCTTGTTGTTGCGAAATGTGGAAGAGTGTCTAGGTAGGATAATGATCAGCTCACAGCCCTCTGCCTCTTTGGTTATAGCGCCACCAGATTGCTAGCGTGGGTCTGTAGGGCTGATCAAAGCATCACCATGGCAGACAATGTAAGGTAAAGGTCACCAGAATGCCAAGACTTGCTAGGGCTACAGCCACAGCAACCAAATTCTGTGTCCTAATTATAAAGGTAGAATGCCGTTGAAATCGAGCTTATGGTAGTACTAGAAAGGGTGCTGGAAAGAAAAGTAGACGCAAAAAGCATCGTTTTCAACAGCAGTTGGTGTAGCCTTGGCAAATCTTGGCATTCCGGTGACTTTTGTCGCCCACTGCTGGAGCCATGTTGAACTTTCCAAGACGCATTATTCTCGGATGCTAGATGCTTGCGCTGTATATCTTTATTATATATTTACAATATCATGTGCCTCAGGACAGAGATGGTTTTAGTCTGTGAGAAAAAGACTGCATGAGCCTTGAAGTAGGATGAATTTTGAGCCAAGGGCAAGGAAGTTGTCACATCATAGCGAATATCTTGCGGTTGGATGCAAGCATGTTCTTTTGAATCTATTTCTGCCTTGATCGCTCACTGAAACTGTTTCGCGCGTCTTATCTACCTTAAAAGAAACTACTCAGGGTCTCCTTCTCGAATGTTCGCCTGGCATTCAACATGCAGTCAGCTCGGTCATCCTGCATGAATCCTTCCACAGAACAGCCCTACATCAACTCCAACATGTCGATAGTACGGAGGAGGGTAAGCATCGCTTTGCAAAGCGAGATCATCTTCTAGTCTCTGTCATCTACTAAACATGGCATCCAACACCTTTGACATCGACGCCCTGCTCAAGATCTACGGCGCCAGCCCCGACTACCGTCCCCAATTCGAACACCGTGTTAACATAGTCAAGTCATGGAACATCCTTCCCGGCTCTCGTGTCCTTGAAATCGGTCCAGGCCAAGGCGACTGCACCATCGTACTCGCAACAGCAGTGGGTGAGAGCGGACACGTCGACGCTGTGGATCCTGCTCCTTTGAGCTACGGTACGCCCATCTTTCCAAGTCTCGCACGTGAATTGCTTTATCTTCTTCTTGTTCTTGTTCTTCTTCTTCTTCTTCTCCTCCTCCTCCTCCTCCTTCTTCCTCAACTTCTTCAACAGCATCTCACCTTCCCGCTCAGGCTCCCCCATCACAATCGGCCAATCCCAAGCCCAGCTCTCCGCCTCCCACCTCGGTCCCCGCATCAGCTGGATCGAAGACTCCCCGGACCACCACCTCTCCACCAACCAAACCCCTTACACCCACGTCATCCTCTTCCACTCCCTCTGGTACTTCTCCTCCCCCTCCACCTTCCCCTCCCTCCTGCGCCTCCTCCCCGCCCACACGACCCCAGCCGCGAGCCTCTGCGTCGCCGAATACGCCCTCCGCGCCCCGTCGCTAGCCTCGGTCCCGCACGTGCTCGCGGCTCTCACTTCGAGCAGGCTTCAGGCCGAAAGGGGGAGCGAGGAGAGGAATGTGAGGAATATCAGCGGCCCGGAGTGGATCAAGGATATTGCGCGAGGGGAGGGCTGGGCTGTCAAGGATGAGAAGGTGGTGGTGCCGCCGAAGGGGCTGCAGGATGGGAGGTGGGAGGTTTTGGGCATACTGAGTCAAGGGTTCGAGAGGGAAGTGCAGGAGGTGGTGAAGCGGCATGAAGGTCTGGGAGGGGTTTTGACGGGTATGAAAGAGGCTGTGGTGGGAGCTTTGGAGGCGGTGGAGGGCGGGGTCAAGGGCGTGGAGACGATGAGCGTTTGGGTCGGGAAACTGGATAAGGGACAGGGGTTGTAGGGTGTTGAATGAGTGTTTGCCCGTGGAAAAGTTTTACCCTTCTTGCATTTCCAGGCCGTCTGGCGACTCTTTGCATGTCACTTCTTTGCTATGCTTACATCCGTTCGCTTTTGTACAATGGCCGTCCTACTGCTACTAAAGAAAACGGCTACTGAAAGACTTTCAGACCTGTCATTCCTTCATCCTCACTACATCATTCGTTGCGATGTCTGGCACTTCGCCACATCACCTCCCCGCTGCGCTTGCACCCACTCACACTGTATGCTAGCCGCGCCGTCATGAGCCAACAGAGTCGCATTCACACCCGCCGGCAACGCATTCAACCCAGTCGCATTCCCCACCCCATCTCTCCTCTCCATCCTCCCACCCCCATCCATGCCCCTCGGACTGTTGTCCAAAAGAGACACCGCGCGTGCCTTTCGCCTCGTCTTGCGTCGCTGGAACGGGTTGATGGATGTCATGGTTGGGGATATTGAGAAATAAGCCCGGTCCCCTTGGGACGGCCGGATGGGGTTCTGCACGCAGAAGTCCGCGAGGGTCTCATAGGCTGCGGTGAGCTGGGCCCGGGTTAGGGTCCACGGAGACGAGGGGGGATATGACTAGGGTGCAGGTGTCTAGAGCGCGGGGCACGGTAAGCTGGTGCGATGATGGACGAGTGGGAGAGCGGTGGAGGTGCGGTGTCTCAAAGCGATCGCCAGGGTTGCCGAGAGCTTGACTACTGTGCTGTGGTCTAGATACTTCCCGGAGATGATGTACTTACTCGAAGAAAAGAACTTCGTGGTCCCCGGATGCAGGACGACGTTCTGGCCTGCACTCCCCAAGCCCTGCCATTCCGACTGATCGCAATCAGCGACGGAAGGAGCCCCGAGACGCCTGTCACGCTCATAGATCGTGTCACTGATCTCGGAATCCGTACCCACGTCATCCCGAAAGGTCAGCGTACCACCTCGCTCCATATGTTGCGCACGACTGTCCAGGTCGAGTGCAATTGTAGCGAAATAGTTTACCAACCCTTCGTCCTGAAAAGATATACCACGCGTAGCTGCGAAGTTTGAGATGAGAGCGGCTGTCTTTGAATCCGTGTCGCCAGGTCTCACTCGCTTGCCTTGCACCGTGACGGATACGGTGATGAAGGCGCCATCGCGGGGGTCTTTTTTTTGCGCGGTGAGTAGGAACATCTCATATGACGGAATGAAATTTGAGAGGGTTCACGTACAAGCGGCTAAATCAGAACGTTTGAGTGGACTTCCAACCATGTTGGTCACTGAAGCCCAGCCATCAGTGACAAAACCACCGATGCCACCTCCTCCGACTACGCATTTGTCGATGATGTAGCCTGCCATGCCACGAATGTGGTTGGGTACGATGCGAAAGAAATTAGGTGCACTGAACTCTGGGGCTGCGGCTTCTACGGAGATGGTACACGTTCCTACGTCTTGAAGTCATTCCGCGGATGGCATCGTGGGGTTTGCTTGATGCAGTGTGCCAACCTTGTGTGAAGGACATGGGTACCGTGACCGCACCGCTTGCTTCCGAGCCTGGATACCCTCGCCGTAGGTAGTAAGGGACCGCGGTCATCCCTTCCTGCAGGTTCTCTTCTGAGCCCTGATAGCAATCCGGCGCTGCGATTTGAGAACCCATGACTCGAGTGAAGTCACACTCAGCCCAGTCCGGAGCCACGGGGCGGACGATGGCCAGTGGCAGCGTCTGATGACTGAGCATGATTAATGGCGAATGACTGCGACGGGGACTGGATACCCTGCAGAGGACTGTGAAAAGCTGCGGAGATTAAAGGTCCGACAGTGCCAGGAAGAGAGTCGTGCTGATGTTCGAGGAAATTTAACCGCTGAAGCGTCGGGAAGCCTTGGTCTTCGTGACGATGCGCCATGATATGCGTGAAGCGTCCACACTAGTGTCACGCTCAGACATTCGTTTGTGGCTTTTCCGAGATTTTTGAATCGATGAGGAAGCGTTGACTGATGGTGAGAAATGCATCTTTCATCTTGCTAATTCAACAGGTACTAGTACTCTTGACCCTTGTACTGCCTCACGTTGATATTATGTCTATACTTATACTCAATATATGGCACACGTTTGCAGAATTCCAGTTCCTCAGCACAATCTGAGGAGGCAAAAATGCAAGCACAGGCAGGATGAAGACAATGTTCACCAGTTGTTTTTTTTGACAGCAATGGCTCCTTATGTCGACTCCGCTATTCTCAATCTAGACGTGCCAAGCCGGACCTTCGGACAATTGACAGTCCGGGTGATATACTATTTAGCATTTCCATCCAGCACATCAAGTTGTTGACGTCGCTTCACATTCCAGTGAAACCTGCCTAACAACATGCCTCGCCCACCTATCTCCCTTGGTCGCATCTGCTTAACCGTCTCCGCCGTCGTCACATCCATCGGTACCTACGCTGCAGATTGGAGCGAAACTCACGTCCTGAACCCACGCTGGCCTCCTCATGCCAAGTTTCACAACGGCCAGAGCATGTCGCTCGGTCTTGCTTTAGGCATCTTGACCGTATATTATACCTGGCGCCCTACAGCTCAGCCCAAGGACTCGTTGAGAACCGCGGCTATCTTGGCTAGTCTGTACTATGTTACTGGGCTCAGTGGCATTCTCTATCCTGGGGCTCTGGGAGTTGATCCGGAGTTTGGCGAAGGCTTTCCTCAATTCTGGTTGTTCACGGCGTTCACTGGGCTGCCGTGGTTGGGGTATCTGCTTGAGTCGAGGAGGTTGAGGAGATAGACGCTGTGTGAATTCTGCCGTGAGACCGACCAATGCTTAGACAAACCTTTGTTCGCTGATCGGTCGCGGATATCTACAGGCATAGGCTACGTGATTTTGTAGCTGCGGGCTTGTAGCACGGGTTGCATCAGCTACACTGAGTCCTCGCTTCGTAGCACATATGTCTCACCCCCAAGTCGTCCCCTCCTTCTCCTCCTCCTCCTCCTCCTCCTCCTCCTCCTTCTCCTCCTCCTCCTCCTTCCCCTTCTCTTTCTCTTTCTTTTTCTTCTCCTCTTTTCTCCACGAACCCCCCAACTCCTCACTACGAGACTCATCAACTTACCCTCAAACCTCAGCGATCCTGACTGGCATTGACGTCCCATTCCCTGAACCAACTTCCTCAAGCAGGCCTGTACGATCAGGAGGACCCGGAGGCAATGTAAATCCGATGACAACGACTTTCCACCCAACCCCATGCCCAATTGGCGCGAATCCCCCGCAACCGCCATGATCCTGACAAACCTCCAGTATCTCAGTTGCCAAAGCTCTAGCCTGCTCAAACGAGAAGTCATCGATGGTATAAGAATCTCCCGAAGCAATCTGCACTGCGCAGGTACTCCGTATTTGGTGGATGGCGTATGGAGGCTTAGACGGTAGCTTTGGGTATCGGCCTTCCATGAAATCTTGGATGAGGCGATAGTTGGGAAATGTACGGAAGTGGTTGAGTGTAGGACGGCAGCCGTCGACGTCTGTGGTTTTGCGGCCTACGCCAGGCGCGAAACACTCGATGACGCCTACGGGTGGTGGTGGTAGCGGCGGAGCTGTCGTACTGTTTGTTGGTACCGAAATCTGATGGACGTCACCAGATACAGTCCGTGGATAGATCTTCTGCGCCTCTCCAAGATCCTGTGCTTGAGGGTACGCCGATACCGCTGAGCCCCAATTAAAGAGTATTGCAATCGTAACGAAGCTCTGGAGAGCCATGGCGCTTCAACAGGCCGGAAACACGGTTCACGGAAATGCAACAAAGCGACGAAGATAAACCATGGACGTCACAAAATACTCTTCAGTCAAGCCAAAGCTGTCGTCATCATAGACGAGTACGGTGAAAATGGGGCAAGTCAACGACAGCGATGGTTCGTTCGAACCTCCAAAAGTGGATGAAAGGGTACGAGTATCCCTCTTTGGGCGTGAGAGGATGAAGATGCTCAGATCACGCGTTCGTGGTGAGAGACTCTGCGCACATAGCCATGGCTCGCGAATCGCATGTCATAGAGGCGCCAACCGATTCGTCTTGCTTAAAGGTTTACATGCGCAGGCGCTTGAGGTCTTTTAGACTTTAGTACCCAGTCCGTAAGAATGACCGGCTTCGGTACCGTGGTTGCCAATCAGGACCCGAAATCACTATACCATGTCTGCAATCGACACATCGTACCCCGAGACAGCGACCTCAAGCGCCATATCCTATTCAAGGCTATCATCCAGCTATCGTTTACGGCCTATGTGCGGCGTACTGTTGATCCGGTGCAGCACCAGATCTGCTATTAAGATCGCCAATTACGTTCCTCACAGCTACCTCAATCCAAAGGTCCTTGGAGAATCCCCAGATAATTGAATTGCCAACGATCTTGATCTCCTCCGCAAGATCATGCGCAACCTTCCGTGAACGAACCACTTCCCACCACAACTTCGATATCTTTCGCGTGATGCAATCCCAACCAGTTTGCCTGGCGTTAGCAACACCAACTTACAACACCAACCAGAACGAAAAACGGCAAGTTGCCCGCGGCCAGCTTTAACCACGAATGCCCTTAAGCAGTGATGATGAGTCCGAACGCACGCTTGAAGTCATACCTATCAGACTCCACTCTGAACCCCAGCGGAAGACCCCAGCCCAATCGAACCCTATGCTATCACGGCCACGTTGTAGACAGTCCGACCACGCTACCCCCTGCTCCTCTCCGTGCGAGCATGCTTTCTTTCACCATCATCTCTTTATTCATTCATTCAATCCATCGACCGCGGTATGCATGTCCCGTGGCCCAAGGGTGCGAGTATGTATGTATGTACGTCAGCCGCGTGAAGAGATCGCGTAGATGCATGTGGTTGCTCCCTTCCTTCTTCCTCCCTTTCTTCCTTCCTGACTGATGCGTTGCGTGTGCTATTGGGGAAGTAAACATCGTTCAGATGGAAAGGGTGCATCGTGGCTAAAGGGGGACATGCATTCGCTTATTCACTCGCGCGCTTCGGTGTCTGTGTACGCGGGTGTGGAGGAGCGAGTTGTGGGGCTGTGGTGGTCGCTTGCTTGCTGTTGGGTTTAGTATGGGGCTGGTGTGGTGTTGTGTGATGTTCTGTTTTGCTGCTTGGTTGGTTGGTTGGTTGGTAGGTAGGTAGGTAGGAGAAAGAATGGGTGGTCAGGTTTGGGGAGCATGTTGGAAGGGAAATCGCTCGCTTGCATTGATGGATAAGTTGTCGCTCTCACTCATTGCTCTCGCTCGCTCGCTTGCTTGTTGGCTTTTGTGTGATGTAAGATACGTCACCCTGAAACTCATATATTCAATTCAATCCAAGTCAATCAAATATCCAGAAGATACATCTCCCGGCCCATGTCTACACATCTAACAGGATCTGCTATCCCAAATATCCTGCTCTCTCCCTCCCCCTCCCTCTCTCTTTCGCCTTCTTCTAGCTCGTGTTCAGTTCAGTAAAAAGCAAACAGGCAAACCAAGCTCGTGGTCCACGCATAGACGATGTTACTTACTCCGTCCGCTCGAAGGAGGTGGTGGTTGGAGCTTTGCGCCAGGCGGGAGAAACGACCTAGCATCGACCGCTCCCACCCTCTCTCTGAAACTCGCTCATCCACGCCTTACCCCTATCCATTCGCTCAGTCGTGCGTCTGGTGCCGCGGACCGGGGTCATTCATTTCTTGCGCTCGAGACGCTGACTCGAGGACCGTGAGTCGATGCAGCCCTCGTGGAAACCGGCGTCTTGGGTTAGTTCGTCTGGTTCCTTCGCCGGAGGCTTTTTGCGGGGCTCGACGGTGGCCGCAATGTGCGATGCGTTGGGCTCGGGATCCGACCGCTTTGAGAGCGCTTGCTTGTCGGAGTCGAATTCTTGGGGCTTTGCTTCTTCGGCGGGGTCTGCTTCTGCTTCCGCTTCCGGCGCTTTTGCTCCATGCGTCTGTTCCGGCGACTGAATTTCTGCGTCAGAGTCTGCGGGTTCGTTGTCCCGGTCGTCCAAGACGTCCGGCTCAAGCTCTTCGGTCTCCTCATATTCCTGCATCTCCGCCCCCTTTGCCTTCTCGAGTTCCTGCTCCAGCTCCTCAATGTATTCGATGGTCTTGCAAACGACATCCGAGTCGTCCCCAAGACACACCACTTCCTCCTCCAGCTCCAAGTGCGCAAACGTCAACGCTTCCTCGAAATTCCCTCGGTCCCGGAGATAATCCGCTGCGTCGCGGTACGGCGTCATCAGCTCCCCATGCAATCCTTCCTCTTTAATAAGCCCTATCAGTTGCAAGACCGGCGTTAGAGGGTCTTGCAGTCCGTAGACCAGCAGCGCCTCGTTCAGCATGGACTGAAACATGATGATCTGGTCGTTGAGAGCCTTCATGACGAGACGGCGCGACTCGCTCGCTTTTCCGGAGGCGGTTTCGGTCTGACATGCCGGGCAACCGCAGTAGAAATTGTAGATGCGGAGCTCGGATTGGCGCTGGTCTCGTGTGCAGAAGGCGCGTCCGTAGCAGATTGTCATCTCTTCCCCTTCTGGGATGTCGGTCATGCTGTGCAGGACTATCTCATCGCGCTTTTCGCTCCAGGAGTAGTAGATGTTGGGGAGGCAAGAGTGGTTGAATCGTGTCGCGGTTAAGAACATGGCGGCCGCGGACCCAATGTTGAAGCAATTGGCCTCGAAAATACACATGACGTCGATCATGTTAGTATTGTCCGAGCGATTGGGGCAGTGCAACTGCATATACTGTTGTCGTCTTGCAAAGGGCATGCGCTGAAATTCTTCGAGGACTGTTCGAGCATTGTATGGCTTGGTGACAACGAAGAATGGCTTATCGACTAGAACGCGTTCTCCTTTGACGACGTGTCGAGCAGCGAAAACACCCTGGCCTTTTCCCGGCGATTCTTTGATAATATAGGGGCCAATTGGGTCCGGAGACTGGTAGGGTTGCATCGATTCCCCGCCATCGATGAGCATGGCATCTGTGACGGCCGAGCCAGCTGCAGTCTCCTCCAATGGCAGCTGACAGTCATATCCTGCGGCGAGCCAGATGTTGACGATGGCGTCCATATCAAGCACTTCAGATTCTGGGAAATTGACAGATCCATCGTTCATGGCCTGGGGAGAAGCCGCTGAGGAAAGTATACCCCATAGGATTGCAGGTTCGGCAAATGGCCTTTCTGCAGTCTCGTTGGGTTGGGCGGTTTCTTGTTGTTCCTGATATGCCAGGCCCGTGGTTGCGGCATCCAGTGAGCCATTTTTAGCTTCATTTGCCTCGCCGCATTCAGAACCTCTCTCGCACTCTGAGATCAGGATACCCCAGAGAATGGCCGGGTTGAGAAGCATTTGACCTTCCTATAATCCCTCGGCTTTAGACGTGTTGAAAGCCATGGCAGGGTTTGACCTACCATGGCGCCAATCCTTCCCGCTGCTGCTTAGAGTAGATCTTCGGATGCGGTAATCTCTCCTAGAGCAAATCAATGCAGAAATGCAACAATCCAAGCCTTGCGAAAGTTCACAGTCTATAAGTCCAATGTTCTGGCTTGGGATTGCTGAACGGCGATGAAAATGCTGGCTGGATATAGATTTATGATAGCGATACCACACTGAGACAGATTGTGTCGGAGTATGACGGTCTGAGAGCTGTTGAAATGGGCAGGTTGTCTGTGGTCTTGTAGCTGCGGAAGCGGTGCTCACTGAGAACATAGAATTGGTCGACGGAGAAGTGATGACCGACTGAGAAGGTTGATGGAGAGAGTGAATACTCGAGAGTGCTCGTGAGGTCGACAAAGAGAAAAAGTGATCAGAGAGAAGGGTGTCGGAGAGGAGTAGTAAAAAGTAGTCAATTGCCCGATGGAGAAGAGAAGAAGATTGAGAGGTTGGCTGTAGTCCTTCAGGTCAAGTTTGTATCTGTTAGAGAAGCTTCAGGTGTTTCTTCCCAGCAGATATCTCACAGGCAAACCCGTCCATGGCAAGTGCAGATCCAAGCATGGACCTTCAATCGCAAAGCCTCGTAAGTACCATGTTCTTACTCTGGAGAGCGACGACATCATGGAGAGTGACGAAGCCTGCTAGGACGTTCATCACTTTCCAGAGGTTGAAGAGTCGTAGTCCCGAAGAAGATTAGCGGCGGTACTGGTACAGTGATTGAGGGGCAGATTCTGACCAACTGTGACTCTGTCTCAAAGCGACCTGTCTCGCTCTTCTGACGTACCGGTAGACGGAACGTCTCAACAGAGAATGTCATATACAGGATTCTAGTCGTTTTTAGAAATTTTGAACTTGGGCTAATTACTAATTCATACCCCGAAACTATGAATCCTTACCGAATCATACCCCTAATTACTGAATCATACCCCTAGGGGTATGATTCAGTAATTTGCCATTACTTGGGGTATGATTTGGTAATTTGCCATTCATGACAAAAATCGCAAAGGAGAAAATTCGCGACCTGGGCCATCCGACCATAGAAAAGAGGAAATATCTCCGACCGTATTTAATGGGTGACCTACCAGCTTAAATATCAGACGAAAGCCGAGTGGGTGTTAGCAGCAGCTCCCACGGGGTCCTGCGACGGCCCTACGGGGGCCCTATTTAGGTTTAAATAGGGGTCTGGCTGTCAAGCGCAGACACCCCCGGGACCAGGCTTTTTTTGCGCTTGACAGCCAGACACCCCTATTTAGACCTAAATAGGGCCCCCGTAGGGCCGTCGCAGGGCCCCCGTGGGGGCTGCTGCTAACAGTGGGCTAAATTTGGCCCCCCAGCCTGTCTACACCCAGTCTGTGACTCCTACACACAGTCTTCACTCCCAATAGTCTACACAGCAAGTTTGGTAAATTACCGAATCATACCCCAAGCAATTAATCCTTACCGAATCATACCCCAAATTTTGGTGTAGGGGTATGATTCAGTAATTAGGGGTATGATTCGGTAAGGATTCATAGTTTCGGGGTATGATTCGGTAATTAGCCCATTTAAACTTGCTGATAACTCAGTCGCAGATACAGTTCATTGGGTTCTTGACGAGTGGCCCGGCCCGTTGCTAAAGACTCTGAGTGGTCAGTGGCAGAGCTAAACATTCGTTTGAAAACCCTCACGCTTTGCGTACGATCCGTACAATCGGCAAAACAGATCTCGCATTCAGGCTAGGTCAGGGGTAGACCCTCTGCCAGGAGCCCCCGCTGGGTTTCTAGGGGTTTAGAATTCAGTATCAACTATATACAGCTATTGGCGATTGTCGTATAACACGGTTCATTCTTCAACGGTACAGCCCACTGGCCGAGAAGGCGATATTGGTCAATGGGCTGTATCATTGGCCAAAGGGGACTTCCTTGTGAGTGGGCTACAACAGATCGGCTCAAAAGGTAGGAGACATCTGTGCTATCGAAAGTCTTGAGTTCTTCTCAAGCATTTCCAGCAATAGCCTCTTCAGCGGGATCCTGATGCATCTTCTCCTTCGTCTCTTGATCTTGTCCCGGGTCCTGACCCTCGTCTATCTTCTCTGCCTGGGATCCTGTTTGCATTTTACGTATCTGTTCTTCCACTTCAGCGCGATCCCTCGTGTCCACCGTGCCGTTGTACTCCTTGTCCATCCTCTCCATCAACTCCTGACCTGGCAAAAGCACGGCCCGATCAATCGCCATCGGCAATCCTCTGTGGCGGCCCCTGAGCATCACGATGATCAATATGAGCTTACTCACAGTATGCCATGCGCCACAGAAAGAGTACGTGTCATATGGAACCCCCGTGCTCTCACCGACGTTACCGAATGCGGAGACGGTGTCGAAGAAGACGGCGTACAGGTCGAAGCCCGGGGATGGGATTGAAAGTGCGTCGCGCTCCACGATACAGATAAGGAAGAAGCTGATGAAGACCCACCATGCGTCTGAGGTGAGTTGTCTTTGCAAGTGCGTCTGAAGAAATCAGCCGATACTACTTGATAAAACAAACAGCAACGACGCTTACTCCAATGTACGAGCGCTCCGACGCGATTTCATCATCCGCTTTCCCCGGTACCTGCACCCCAAGCGATCTTTCTTCGTATATATTGGTCGATCGGATCGACATGATGACTGGAAGTCCTGATATGTACATTGCACCAGTGTACAATACCAACAAGGCAGGGGCAATCTCGCTGAAGTTGATAATGTACATGCCAGCTGTGCGCACGCCTGATGCTTGGAATAGCCCACAGATCGTTCGATTTCCGGGCGGTAGGCTTGTAATTGTGGGGTAATCAATCTGGAGAAGAATCCAGAAGATCCAAAGTAGGAGATGGAGCGAAATTTGAACGGCGGTGAGATACCATGTGTTGATGGACGGGAAGAGGAGAATAAAGCAGCGACGTGGATGCTGGAGCAGGAACGTGAGACTGTGGTGTAACTTTGAGTGCGTAGGGACGATTTTGGCCGTTGTCCATATTGTGAGTCGCAGGAAGCTGGGGAACAAGGTATTTCCTGCCCATGTTTCACCACCAATAACGATCAACGCGAGATAGAACCCTTGGAACGCTAATATGGTGTCAGCACCTGAAGCTACGAACAACAATCTTTGACCTACGGATCATGCTTTGATTGAGCAAGTCAAGCCCACAGTTGCTGTAGGCGGAGACGACCAAAAATGAGGCCCACCTGGCCAGAAATCAGCAACTTCGTGAGCCTTCCTCGTTTTCCAGGTTGCCACTTGCCAGCCAGGGCTAAGGTTGCCGGGTTGTTGATATCGAACGATATCTGCAACGCTATCCTTGTAGCTCCATGGAACCATTATCGCCAAGGCCAATGCAAGCCAAAAGATGGTGTAGACAGGCAACAGCCACATAAGGACACCTAACGCTCGGTACTCCACACCACCAAGCTCTTGAGCCTCGCGTTCACTGAGGGAGTGGAAGCGACCCTACTCACTGTTAGGTCTAGATTGTACACTGAGGTGCAAGATCGTACTTTTCGGTCGAACGATGGCTTGAATGAAAGGTGGTGGTGCGGTCGTTCTCGGATCGGACGGGCTGGAGCTGTGAACTTCGAAGTGAACTTCCTACTGATCTCCCACTCCCATGGGTACGGAAGTCCACCATGACCGATCTCGTGGTGGCTTCTGCGGTCCTGAGTCGTGCTGGTCTGTGATAGGTGCGTGCCACCACCTCGAGGTCGTTTTTGGATGCCAGAAGAAGTGGAATGACTAGCACCGGTGGTCAAAGATGCCACTTTGCCGCTCTCCTCTCTACCAATCCCATCGACGATCTCCCTTGCAGCCTTGGAGTGTTGGAGAAAGTGCTTCATATGCTTCCGGAAAAAGTGCCGCCTTAGCCAGGTTGTAGCGTGAGCAGTGATGGTCACGTTGCCGAGTAGAACAAGAAGAAAGAGGATGGACTGCTGGAAGCCCGTTATGTCGCTCAGATTGACCGTGGACAAACCTGTGGCAGTCATGGCACTTGTACAAAGGAAGATGGCGTCGATGTAGCGAAGCTTGAAGAGGGCTTCGGCATCGCCACTGTTACCGTTGACGCCGCTACCGTACATGATGACAGACGAGAGGATTATGGTCAGGAGGAAGTAGATGACGTGCACGCGATAGAAATTCGTTTGGAAGCAGCCACGTCGGCTCAAATAGGGTATCATGGCCCTGACGCGATCCATGATGGCGATAGTGGATTGAGAGTACGAGGAAGGCAGCAACTTGGAGCAATTGGGGAAAACAGGCTATCAGGAGAGAAGGGAAAAGAGAAAATTGACAGATGTGCTGATGCCGGTGAAGGCATCCCTTTGGCCAAGACCAAGGTTCCAGGAGATGCGCACATGGCGACATCATCGTGGTCGGAAATCATATGCGTCATGTCGAGAGGCATCTAGATAAGGTATGTACAGACCGAAGAGATACGAATGAATGCAATGCAATGCAATGCAATGCAATGCAGTACCAAGAGAGGAAGGAGAAGGGAGAAAAAGGATATGACGTCAAGACATACTTATCTGTGTGCTCAAACAAAACGATGCAACTTTGATGGGAAAGAGGTTCCCTCGTTCCCCTCCCACATGGCATGGCATGGCATTCATGATGCGGGAAGCCCGTGTATGTTGGACCCGAGCATCTGCGTACCCAATAGAGTACAACATTACGATCGTACAAGATCATGCATCTAGGCTGCATAAGGCTCATGCATGGCAACGTTCGGGTGCGGGGCTCCAGGCTTTAAGACTCCCTCAACTCTACGGCTTAGTGTTGTCGGAGGAGATTTAGTTCGTAACAGGTTCGATTCCTATTGGCGCTGGTACAATGGTGTTGCGGTGTGTCTTATTCTCTGGCAGCGCCAATACTGCAGTGTTGTCGTTGTATCATTTTCTCCGAAGATGGTGGGTTTCGATCCCGGTTATATTTTAATCTGGCTTGGGTGCAGTAGCGGGAGTGATCATCCTTATCGTGTGGGGGTACGCATCTATAGTTGCGGTCAAGGTTAGAGGTATCTAATTCGCAATCGGTTCGATTCCTATTGGCGCTGGTACAATGGTGTTGCGATGTTTCGTATTTTCTGGCAGCGCCAATACTGCAGTGTTGTCGTTATATCATCTTCTCCGAAGATCATGGTTTCGATCCCGGTTATATTTTGATCCGGCTTGGGTGCAGTAGCGGGAGTGATCATCCTTATCGTGTGGGGGTACGCATCTATAGTTGCGGTCAAGGTTAGAGGCATCTAATTCGCAATAGGTTCGATTCCTATTGGCGCTGGTACAATGGTGTTGCGGTGTTTCAGCACATATTTTCTAAGAGGCTTCCCTCCCGCATGGCACCCAGGATGCGGGAGGCCCGTGTACTCGGGCCTCTGCGTAATACAATGGTACAACAGTACTAGATTATGCACCTAGGCTTCTTGAGGCTAAAGATCCCCTAAACCCTAAGGCTTAGAGAATGATCGTGGGGGCGATACACTCGTGCGGCTACTGTTGATGATGTAGTCTTTCTTAGCATCTGGCAAAAAATGCTCCACCAATTGAGTTATCTTTCGATTCACTGAAGGACTCTCAGTGAGGGTTCCATGACCGGGAGAGTATATTCTAGGTTACTCTCGAGGGGTGGTTCCTCAGTCAAAGAGGCGTACGGCCTAAACTACTCTGAGGGCGGTTCTATTGGGTGAGGATTTCAGGTCCACGGAATGTGGCCTCGGTGATATTCTCATGTAGTGGGACGGGCTCCCCTGACTCCTCTTGTAAAACAAGAAAAACAACTTCAAATCTTAGAGGGTTCCATGACCGATATGGACTGGTGGGTACTCCCCCTATGAGAAGGTCCTTCTCGTTCCAGTCCGCCAGGTCACATCATCTCCTCGGGCTTATTTTCTTCTTCTTCCTTTTCTATTCTTTTTTTGTTTTGTTTTGGGAATCATTTCTGTATGCAAACTAAAGCCATGACGATTATGATAACAACATGATCATGGGCCTCGTCCGCTACACAGCCGTCTCCGCCACCCTTTCGACGTATAACCTATCGGACTCAATCTTTCCTCGTAGACCTCAAACCAATAGACATCATCGTAACGTTCGACATCTAACCCTCCTCGTAGACCTTAAATCAATAGACATTATCGAAACGTTCGATGTCTAACTCTCCTCGTAGACCTCAAATTAATAGACACCATAGTAACGTTCGACGTCTAACCCTCCTCGTAGACCTTAAATTAATAGACACCATAGTAACGTTCGATGTCTAACCCTCCTCGTAGACCTCAAACCAATAGACATCATCGTAACGTTCGACATCTAACCCTCCTCGTATCCCTAGAAGCTTTTGTCTCCTCCGCTCTGTTTTCCTTCCGTTCTTCGTAATCATCCTCTAGGAAGTCGTAATTTGCCCTGTATCTATAGCCAGCCGACAGTTACATGCAGCTCATTGCGTATGTGGTTCGCTGTCATATTATCCCGCCGGACTAACAAGAGTCTCGGCGTGAGAACTCTGCACAGAGGCGTGAATTCTGAGAGAGAAATGGGCGCGGCGACAGTGATAACGTTTGTGTGGCGAAGCTCTGGCACTTCTGCCTCGCTCGTGGGACACGTCGTCCTCAAGATATCTTCAAGATTTACTTTTCCGGAATCTCTGTGCTCAGCAGTATGTACCATCAAATCTTACCATGGACACATATTTCGTAAAATACGTACCAAAGCTACATTTCCATCGAACCAGGTATCATCCCTTGAACGCATTCTCACCGCACTTTTCAGGCAAAATCCTTTCTTACCTGGCGGAGATAGCGCCAAGAAAACAACAGAAACACATACACACGCAACGACCTTGATCACATTCACTAAAATCATCGTTCTCGACCCAGCGCAGCAGCAACCGAAGGATCAAGCCTCAGCACTGCCTACAGAAACCGCGCGGGAATTCCACCATCCGACCAACTCACTGAAAGAAGACGAGCACACACACACACTCGCAAACAAATTCGCAAACAGATTCAAACCCGCCGTGACGTTATGGCACGTAGGTGATAGGCGGGCAAATGCAATCAACCAAGATGAACAGACACAGTACAGAACAAAACAGAATAGAATAAAACAAATAAAAGAATAAAAACATGATCGTAAAACCTCACAGAAACCTCACAGAAACAACCAACCAACAAACCAACCAACCAACCAACCCCCAAAAAACCCCCCCCATACTCACCCACCTCCACCCTACCACCCCGGCCCCCGCAGCCCCATCTCCTTGGACCGATACCACCGCCCATCCGCCAGCACCAGCACCCACCACTCCCCGTGCCGGTCCTGCCTCGTGCCGCCGAACCGGGCTCCTTTTTTCGCCTTCGCGGCGGCGTTTTCTTGCCCGTGTGCTTGTGCTTGTGCTTGTGCTTGTGCTTGTGCTTGTGCTTGTGCTTGTGCTTGTGCTTGTCCTTGTCCTTGTCGGTGTTGGTGTTGGGTGGTCGTGGGCGGGGCTGTGGGTGAGAGGGAGATGTCAGCGTTTGTGTATCTTCGTCTTTTTGGTTTTGTTCCGTGTGTGTGTGTGTACACATTCATGAATAGGCAGGTAGGTAGGTAGGGAACGAAAAAGGCCAAAACAACTCTACTCACCAGCACCAGCACCTCCACCAGCACCACCCCTATAATCCCCCTTCTCCGCCGCCGGAAAAACCCCGTACCCATTCTTCTTCTTCTTCTTCTCCTTCTTCATCTCCCCACCGACCCCCACACCCGGTTGCGCCTTCGCCCCAATCTCACTCAACGGCGCGAACCGGAACGGAGCCCTCGGTCCCGGCCCGGGCTCCTCCCTCCGCGCCCCGGCGTAGACGGGGTTGGCGGCGAGGATGCGGCCGTAGCGGCCGGCGAGGTCTTCTTCGGGGCTGGGGCGGGACGGGGCCGGGCGGCGGGGGAGGGGCGCGAGGGAGGGGTAGGGGAGGAAGGTGGGGGTGGGGTTTTGGGGGATGGGTCTGGAGATTTTGCGGGGGGGTTTGGAGGGCGAGGAGCCCATTTTTTTTTTTTCTGTTGGGGGGATTGGTGGTGGTGGTGGTGGTGGATGCTGTGGGTGTGGGGATGGTGTTGATGTTGATGTTTGGGTGTGGGGATGGTGTTGATGTGGAGCTTTGGGGTGTGTGATTTGGATCGAGAGGTTTTGAGTGAGACAGATGGGAGGCCGTGAGGTGCTCTTGACTCGAAAAACGTTTTGCCATCGTGCGTTGTTGTTTGTGCCTTTTGATGCGACTTTGTCGAGATTCCCTTGTCCTGTTGGCCGTGAGGGATGATGCTGGCTTTGATGATGGAAATGCGCTTTGTCATTTGTTTTCCCACGATCTCAATGCTGACCTAGTAGATAAAGAAATACCGTCTGAGCTATTTTGAAAGAGGACTGAAAGGCGCGACATAGGAAATGGTTTGAAGAAAAAAGTGACTCTGTCTAGAAGATTGAGACAAAAGCTATGTATAGTGGGTATCAACACTGATTGAGAAGAAAGTGTGCCGACCTTGTGGTCTATATAAATCATGAATTTCCTCATTAGTACATTATCCGTTCATGCTGTCCTTTTCGTTTTCAACACCGACTTCACCATTCTCAATGCCAGCCCCACCCTTCTCAACCTCACCAGCTTGCTTCTTCGGAGGCTTGATACTCTTCCATTCGATGCAAAGAGCCCCAATGATGGATAAGCATGCCATTGCCAGAGACACGGTGAACGTCTTTGTCAGAGCTCCATTGTAAGCCACAAGCACTCCATGAAGATTGGATGGGTCAACAACATGTCTTAAGTCGGTAGCACCCGTGTTGACAACGACAGCAGGACTGATGCCAGCGACACTCTTCAATCCGTTGACGAGTTGATTGGTGAAGACGCTTTGTCCAACCGAGACGAAGATGGCACCGCCCAATTGTTGGCAGAACATGACAAGGGCGATACCGATGGGAGCATCCTTCCTAGAAAGAACCGCCTGCGCAGCCAAAGAAGCCTGTTGCATGCCCAGACCTAAGCCAAAGCCGAATATGACCTGGTATCCAATCCATTTCGGATGCAGAGTATCTGGTGTCCATGTGGTAAGCAGACCGGCGCCAATGGACATGAGAATACTGTTGGCAATCATGAACGGCGAATAGTATCCAACCTTGGTGACGAGGATGCCAGCAGAGATACTCGAGACGACGACGGCGAGTACCAAGGGAATGGTGTCAATGCCGGACTTGATGGCGCTAACATCCTTGATAGCTTGGAACCAGATTGGGAGGTAGTAGATCAGGGTCATCATTGCTGAACCGACACAAAGTTGCGACCACATACCAGCGGCTATACTCCGTTGTGTGACGATGCGTGGAGGGACGGTGGCGGTCTCTCCTTTCCAGATCTGTACGCCGATGAAGACTGATATGCAAAGGACGAAGAGAATTAATAGGGCAATGATACGTCCATTGCCCCACGCGTAGGTTGATCCACCCCATTCCAGAGCTAGTAGAAGACAAACGATACCCGCGACGAAGAAGACGGTTCCTATAGGGTCAAGCTGGAGGACCTGCTGCCTCCACGGCGTGCCAGCTTTCTTGGCTTTTGGTATATGCAGGATGAGAATCAGAATGATGATAGCGGCACCGCCGATGGGAAGATTGATGTAGAAGCACCATCTCCAAGACACTTTTGTTGTGAAGACACCGCCCAACAGAGGACCGATGACAGAGGAAAGACCAAAGATTGCACCCATGAATCCTTGTAGAATCGGTCGTTTATGAAGGGGCACGAGGTTCATGATGATGACGATCGCTCCGGAAAAGATGCCAGAGGAGCCACTGCCAGCTACTGCGCGACCGATGATGAATGCAATGGAATTGGGAGCAGCGCCACAGATTGCCGACCCGACTTCAAAGACGCCGATGGCGCAGATGAAGACCCACTTGGGGTTATAGAAAGTGTAGACCCGACCCATGAGGAGTTGGAAGGAGCATGCCGTGAGCATGTAGGCGCTGGCGTACCATCCAACGTCGTTGAGGGAGTGGAATTCATCGGTGATGGTGGGAATAGCGGTTGCGATGATTGTGCGGTCCTGTTGTCTGATTAGGCAAGACTTGGTAGAGGCGCACTGAGTGAGAGGTGTCATACCAGGGCAACGAGGAAGAAGGCCAGGTAGAGGGCGATGACAGTGGGGATGAGCTTCTTGCGGCTGGGGTATTCTGGTTCCGCCTCTGACTGGTTCGTCTTTGCGTGGGTGAGTTCTTCCGCCGCCTCGACCCGTGACTCTTGTATGTTTTCAGCCATAGTCTCTTCATTTCCGGGAGGTGGTATGGAAGAGTCATCGGACTCGGTGTCGAGCGTCTTTCCCATTTCCATCTGGCCCTTCTCTTCAGCCATGCTCAGGTATGTCGGATGTGAATGAGGAAGGGAGAGGCTGAAGCGGGTTTTGTTTGTTGACTCTGATCAGGTAGGAGAGAGGATTCAGATGGGATTCGGAGGAGTCGAGGGGTAGCAGGTAGGTTGAGGTGAGTTGATACGGGACGAATGTAATTGAGTGCGAGGCATGAGGAAGCGGAAGGCGAGCAGGTCTAAATAATAAATATGTTGACATGGGATTGGAAGATGATTCTACACCGTGTAAAGGAGTAATGTGTAGTATATAGTGGAATGGAAGGAAGGATCGGTCTTCGCATTGCGGCCTCGTCATCTCCGTGACCGTGACAGTGTTTTGGAGTAATATGAGTGGATGAAATAATTATGCGAAGAGGAGGAAGCCGTACTATCACCTCGCGCTTTCGGTACGGAGCTATGCCAAAGTCCGCAACCTCGCAGTCTTTCCTTTTGAAGAGTGCCAAGACATCACTAGCAGGGAAGTGAAGCAAGGTTTGCGAGGTCGACTTGCTCAATAAAGTACTTTACCTATGTACTTTACTTTATTGTATTGTGCCAAGGCTCGGTGTCCAAATTTAATATATTGCCGACTTCACATATCCGCGAAGTAGTATTGTTGGATAATGTAAAGCTCTGCTAAAAGACGAGCTGAAATGTCTGAACTTCTAAAAGCAACTTATCACTCGCAATCTGAACAACAACGCTGAGACATAGAATATTCACAAAGTCGGCAATGTATTTTGACACCGACCCCTCGTGCATTAGTCTGCATTATCCGCACGATCTACGGACTAAGCTTTCTGCCCCACCTAAAGTTGGTGAGAGACGATAGTAGCGAGGAATAAGGTAAGTAAGATAAAGACGAGGAAATCTAGCGAGTAGGATGTCATTCAATTGGCTAATTATCCATTCAAGATTTAGATATTCGCTATAGAATAGTCGTGCGTAGGCTCGCTAGCACCAGGGAGTTCACCTCGCGAGGGGGGGGCGCTAGGGCGGCATTAGTCCAAGGTAGACGGGGGACCGTGGGAGGGGGGCTGTCCCGAGTCAAGCTGTAAGCGAGCCAGAGGAACCCAAACCCCTCGTCAATCGTAGATCTCGATCCTTGGGACATCGCAGCTTCGAGTTTCTATAAACGAGACCACTGGCGTTCAAAAAAGCAACAGACGTCGCTCCATGCCAACGCACTTTTAAAAAGGAAGCCATTAGAAGCCTGGCTAGAAGTAGGGTTCAATACATTCATGGGCATCAAGCGCAAGGAGAGAAGAACCGTTGAATAGGAGAGGTTCAAGAAAATCCTTTGGCGGATAAGAGATCTGATCTTGGGTGCTTTCGTTGTCCAGTGCAATGGGCTTCACACTTGACCATTGCCACTTTCCAAGCCAACCCCCCCCTCGGGATCTGCACTCGTCTCGCAATGCAATGTATACGCACGGAGAGAACAAGGGCCCAGCAACCAAAGGTAAGGTAGATACACTGACAAGATCCACAACCTGCAGTATTCGCCACGACAGCATCATTCGCGGCCGGACCAACCGCAGAGAAATGGACACAATAGCGGCTCTCAAAGTAACCCTTGCAAGTCTGATGGTTGAAAAATCGAAACACGTTGACAACGAGATGGACAAAGTTATGCGTGAGATCGTGCCAAGACCTGCAAGCGGACACGTTCCGCGAATGGTTCCCCTTGGTCTATCTATCCAGACGATGCCGCCCGCGATGGTCAAGTCGTCGCATTCGTCGATGTCGATCATGTTCTCAGGTCCTTCTTAGGCGTGATGGAAATTGGAAAAAAGTGACACCGCCCAAGTCGAGGGTCCAACCGCCGGAGAAGAGCCAGAGGAGTATATCATCGCTTGGGGATAGATTCGCGTCTGCGTCAAGGACATGGGTGGGACCGAGATGGTAGTTCTAGATCCCAGGGGCGACTTTGAGGAGGGTTGAGGCAAGATTCACGGTTTTGTGCATGGTCGTCCGGGAGACGAGGTCGGAGCAATCGATCGTGTTGCCGGACGGAGTGTATATGGCCGCCCCGCCAGGGACTGGTCTTGAATCAGTTGACTGGAGCGGAAATGTGGTCGTTATTCTACTGGGAGGCCGGACGATCTATCGGGGTGAGTACGTATAGAGATGTTTGAGGTGTCTGCAATTGCCAAAGTAGCGGACTTTTGATTGACTGCAACAGCTCGACCTTGTGATACATCGTTGGCAGTGTTTGCCCCATTGGATGTGGATACTACGGCTTTTAAGACCGAGGAGCCGTATTTATTAGTACTAATTCAGTCAGGCTCGTAGCTGTCATCATCCGGGTTGCTGGTAGTTGGAGCAGCGAGGGCCGTGGCGAGCAAAATTACATTGGCAAAGAGTGCCCGCGTTGATTCACGTTATTCACCGGATACGTTTCAAGACACGTTAGAAAATTGAAATTGTGATGTTAACACAGCACCAGTGGAAAGGGAGAAAGGAACGTCTTGGGAATGTGCCCAGAGAGTGACAGATATTCTGACTGACCCGAAAGAAAGGAATTGTAAGCCCGGCACCTCAGGGAAAATCAAAGCAGAAAGGGACAAAAGGGTCTTTAATGGATAATTCCATGTTTAAAAACACGGGATATCAGAGCAAAGGGGGATCATAATGAGATGACCTACCACACACGTACTAAATGGGATCCACGAGGGTTTGCCGCACCGGAATTTGTTTACGCGCTCCTATCTGGGTCAGACATCAATCAAGACTACACCTCACCTCAGTGCGCATCGTCCTTGGTACCGTAGGACAAGTCGTCCGTCGAGTGGGAGTGAGCTGGTTCGATTCGCTTTTCCTTTCTTCTTCTGTTCACACGTACAGATGGAGTCCCCAATCCCGACAGAGCCAACACGATCGCGAGCGTCATTCTTCGGCGAGCTGGTAGATATTACATCTCCTGGCATTTGGGAAGACGAGGTTCGAAGATATCCAGGACGGAACACCTCGAGTCGGTACAGCGCTTCGCCGCGTCGTCGTGACGAGGTGGATCGGCGGAAAGATTCTGGGGTTTGTGCCTTGGGAAGAGGGGTTCGAAGGGGGTCCTTCGGCGTGCGTGGTGCCTGCTGGGCTTGAATTGCCTTGGCGTAGGAGGTATAGGCTGGGTATCCAGCTTGTCGGGATATGGTATCGGGTTGGTGGATTCGGCGTTTTTGGGTGAGGTTTGAGACTTTGAGACTGGTGTTGAACAGATCGTCCACTGGGGAGTATTTCAGCGTCACTGTAGCTACTCTCTTTTCTCCTTTCCCGCTTATGCGTGAGCTCGCATCGTTTGGAGTATGCCATTGTCCAAAATCGAACTTCCGTTTCCAACCACCGATATCCGTCAAAGCAGCCACGAGATCCTCGTCCCACGCCTCTCACAATCAGGCTTGTACCACGCCTCTAGGATGCCCCTCCATCAATCTATACCAGGCCGACAACCCTAAAGTGTTGAAAAAACGTCGCACTCTAACCCGGCGTGATCAGAGGGGCTGGATTGGAAACCAGCGACTTCGACAGCGGTCCGGACGATCGATGCTCGTTGGTGAAACATGGCAGTTGGACGGACCGTGTGATGACGACTCATACCTTCCTCGGTCAGCCTCTAGACATTATTGTTTCTTGGGTCAGCTGGTGAGAGTCGCGGCCGGTTTCCGGAGCTGCGGACTGGTGTGCAGTGGAGGGGCCGGGCTTTGTGATGGTGTTTCTAGCTCCTGGAGTTTGATGGGTAGGGAGTGTTTGGACGCCTGGAATGTGAATGTTTTTCTCTCGAGGAGCGAGGTTTATAAGGAGGGCTGGTCAGGTTGTTGCTCGGATCGCGTATGAGCAAGGTGATGTACTATGCTTAGGAGGACAAAGGTCGTTGGGATTTTTTAGTTCGTGTGGCCAGTGCATATTCCTTGTTGTAATTGCCGTGACTAGCTAACGTGCACATGGTTTGAATTATGAGAATTCATTGTTATGGTCACAGCAGAAGATAGAAGGGCGAGCAGAAGCGACATCAGCGCCACATTTTCATCATCCGTAAGTCGTGCTTGTCTTCTTCCGGTGCGTCCACATTCGAGCAAATTGCAAGATTCCTCCGATCGACCTCTCACATCTGTTCAGTGCAACATCCTTCGCAGCGCGGCCCTAAACTCCTCCATCGCCTCTTCCGCGCTCACATCATCGCTTTGACTTCTTATATACCCATAACTAGTAGTCAGAATGCCCTCCGAGATCTCAATAAGTTCAATTGCAGCATCAACCCTCCCTTTCGTCGCACCCACCGCTTCAAGCCAATGGAATCCATCGCGATACAGCTGCTTGGCAATCCTCTTCGGTCCACCCCACATGATCTGGCAGTCGATGTGCAAGCGTGTGAGGTTCACGGCGCCGGCCAGCAAGGTGAAGGCAGGGTGGTTGAGCGCTTTGTGAGCTTTCGTATAGCCCCAGCCTTTGATGGTGAGGTCAGTGAGGGTGGCGCGATTCTTGGGGCCAATGGTGGCGAGGAATGCGTGCATGGCCGTGGTGTCTTCAACAGCGAAGGTGTTGCCGGCGTAGAGGATGGGTTGGGCTTCGGCATAGATTGCGCGGTTGAGAAGGAGAACATTGGGCGTGAGGACGGGTATGGTGGCAGCTGGGGAGGTGTTCAATGGAAGTGATTGTGGCTGGTATCGGTAGGCGCGACTTCTGCGGTAATAGCCGCTTGAGTTGACGGTGTAGGGGACTGAGCGTTGGATGGTGCGGCGATATTGTTTGGTCTTTGAGATAAGAAAAATTCCGTCTGGATCTATGAGGGATAGAGCGTAGATTTGATTCTTGAGCTCTGCTGGGAGCGATGTGAATGGGAAGATGTTGCGTTTGGGGAGGGTCTTGGTGGAGACAGCGGTATGGCTAGATTTGAGCTTCTAGAGTAGGTTGTTAGACGACATCCTGGCCGTCAAAGACCGCCGTGATGCTCTAGCGGACCTTTCTTGACCTCGCCGTGAGTTTCTCATCTGAGGCAGCGTACTCGTCGTCTACTTCTACCTCATCAGAGCTGCTCTCGTGGTATGAGATTTCAGCTCTCTTGCGCTTTGGGTATGCTCGCGTGGTCACTGCAGTGGTGGCCATGATTGATTTGTCAATGAACAAGAGAAGATATGTGGGGAAAAGAAAAGAAAAGAAAAGAAAAGAAGGAGATGCGCCAACCGTTGCTTAAGTAGAGGAGGTATGAAGTGAATGTCAGGTGACTCGCCGCTCGAAGTGGCTAGCTTAGGCACAGCTTCAGGCAGCGGCCTCTATTGGGAAAGGAGGAAATTCGTACTCATACACGGCTACAACAGACAGTTTCAGGCACCACCTGCGCTTACGAGTAGAATAAAGTCTTATTGTATATTGTTGTTGTTGTTGTTGTTGTTATTATTTAGTGATGAGTATTCCGAATGACTTGGGAGAATGCGAGTGCGAACTCGCAGTGAAAAGTGAATGATAATACTGCTCTGTGTAACTGTATCGTGTACTTGTAATTTACGCATATCCACTAACACCTACTGGTGGTACTCCACTTTTAAGGCAACAGCCGAAGCCTCGCACATGGGCTGCCAAGCCTCCAGCTAGTGCCGGTCATAATTTAGACCGCTAGTATCTCCGATCATGTTTACGCCAAGGCCAGCTGATGTGAGCTACGGGCTGCTTCACTTTCCCGCTCCTGCTTCTTCTGCCCCCGTTCATTGCCCTGCAATCCAAAAGCCTGAATCGCATCCCAGTCCTTCCGACTCACGTTGAAGGCCTCTGTGAAAGCTTACCCTGCCTCCATAATGTCGCAACGCAAGTCTCGCGCCCCTTCCGGCTCAGATGATGACTCCTCGGGCCCTCGCATTCCCCCAGTTCCTCAAGGAGGTCGAGGAAGGCGCTCAGGAGGCGATGACTTTGAATCGCCAAAGAGGCGCAGACGGCATTCCGGCCGAGGGTACGACATGCCACGGGAAAAGCCACTGCCTTCGAAAGTGGAGCTGCAACTCTGCGTCTTCCATGGCGCCCCTTCCCATCGTTGGCGCACTGCGCCTTTCACTTTTGACAGAAGGAGGGATGATGATCGAGAGCTATGGGAAGAGATACGGCGGGTCTACAGGGATGAGCTGCAGGGTGTATGGAGGCGAATCCTTGGGTTCAAGAAATTGAAGCATATCATCCCGATTGAGGTACAGAGTCATTCGCATCACGATGTATTCTGAAGTTGGTCTCAGACATTGTGCGGAGCCAGTGAATGTGGATAATGGCATACATACGGAAGACGAGGTGTAGGAGGAGCCACGTCATATGGGGCGGGACTGTGGTGCAACCTCAAGGAGCAGGCAGAAGCTGACACCTCTTCCTCTCCTAGTACACCCCTAACGGCGTCCCCATCGCCAAAACCGCCAAAGACGACCCAAATTCACACTCCTTTATGCACGCCGTCCACCACCCTGATCGGATTCGCCCAGCTCACGAATGGGTCGACTGGTTTACCGAATTTAAAGCCGGTGACCGCGGAAAACCTGTTGGGCTCGAATTTCAAGAGGGTCTATGGGCTGAGAAGCTCGCTATAATCGCTATCTTGATTACCATTGCCATCATCATCGTGTCGATTGTGTGGGTGGTCAAAGGAGGACAGCTGCAGACCGTCTTCACAGTCATGGGATTTGTGCTCAGTGGTGCTGCTGGTGAGTGTTCCTGGGGATGCAGTAAACCTGATGGTGCTGCGCTGACACCTGGTATAGCTGAGGTAGCTTTGGTGGCGCTCTACTTCCAAGTGACGACGTCGAATTAATTATTCGGAGACATCCTTTGCAACAACATTGCTCGCAAGCCTCGATGTGCAAAACCTACATTGAAGAGTGAACACCTAGAAAGAGGTGTTGGAGTAGAAAGAGGTGTTGCAGAGGGAGGTTTTTTGGGAAGAGGTGTTCTAGGAAGCGTTGTTCAGAAAAAGGTGTCCCATAAAGAGGTGTCCCATAAAGAGGTGTTCTTAAAAGAGGTGTCCTAGAAAGTGGTGTCCTAGAAAGAGGTGTCCTAGAAAGATGTGTCCTAGCAAGAGGTGTCATAAGGAGAAAAGTTCTCACAAAGGCCATAAGGAAGAAGCGCCGGACAAGGACAAAAAGCAGCGAGGAACACGCGGGAAAAGCAATCGTCGCAAATACCCTCAAGGAAGCTTCCCGGTCCGAGGCCAAGAATGTGGCCTGCAAAGGTTCACGAAGGAGTTGCTGCCGTTGCCTGCGACATTGAACGGCTTCTCGGGCTGCCCGCTCTTAGGTCCTTGCGACAGATGTCGCCGACGTGCATGTCCGTACGTCCAGTCGGAGAAATGGCGCTGTTGTTTTCGTATGGAGGAAGGTGGAGGGAGGATGATTCAGCCAAGAGAGATAATACCACTACACACGCTGTTGAGAACGTGACAAAGTTGCAGCGTTGGGTAGGAGGGAGGTAGCGAATGAGATGTCGCATGCGAAAATGGTACAGTGAGGATGTTACATTCTTTATATAGGGTATAGAGCAGCTGCGATACCGAAATACCACCCCCACCCGCAGGACGCCCTAGTTTCTATCCACGCCAAACAGGTAAGACCCCAACGCCTTCGCTCGAGATAGATATAAACCACAGTACTGTACCGATACAATCTGCCCAGTCGCGAGAGCTCGAAAACAGTCAAGCCTTCCTCCAACCACAAACACCGTCGCTAAAACCAAAGTACGCACATATTATTAGTACAAATCTCCATCACCACCCAGCCAAGATGCACTCGCAATTCAAGCCTTCCGCCAAATCGCCCCCACACTCGTAATAACCACCGAATCGTCATGTCCCCAGAACCCAGCCAGGACCCAGCCGCTCCTCTCGTCCGGCGCCTCCTGCTCCACGCTCTTGAGCCCCGCCGGCATGCTCACCTTCCCCTGCCCGTACTCCTTCCAGCTCGTCAGCTCCTGCCCGTGCGCGTCCAGCACGATGAGGGCCGCCACGCAGCCGGACCCTTGCTCGTACTCGACGCGGACCTTGCTCGCCGCGGCGCGCTCGAGGTCCGCGAGCGGCTGCGACCAGAAGGCCGGGTTCGCGCTCGCCCGGCCGCCGACGGCGTGGTGCGTGCCGTCGTCGCGCGCCGTCGCGGGGCTCTCGCCGCCGGTGCTGAAGCCGATGGACGAGAGGCGCCCCTGGCATCGCTTCGAGTGCGTCTGCCGGCCGATGACGGCGAGCCAGTTGACGGAGCGGCACTCGTGCGCGTGGAAGCGCAGGCGGGTGAGGCGGTCGAGCGTCTTGGCGCTCCGCTCCTGGTCCAGCGTGCAGAAGAGGCTGTCTCGGCGCCGGTGCAGCCAGGAGGTCGGCACGGGCAGGCGGTCGCCGATCAGGGGCGCGAATTCGAGGTCCTCGTCCCGGGCCCACAGCCCGATCTTGGACACTTCCTGCGCGGTGAGGAGGCCGTAGTTGGTGTCGCGGCGCACGAGGTCGGCTTGCTCGCGGATCGTGAGGCCGTGGTGCCGGATCTGGGGGGGATGTCAGTTCACCGGTTCAACGCTCAGGGCGCGAGTGTATCGAATGGGTTTGCACGCACCGGCATCCTTTTCCTAACCTCCCCGGGCCAGGCGTATGGCACCGGTCTTTGGTTCCCGTTCCCGTCCAAATCGGCCAATGACGGGTTGTAGATTAGGTCCTTGGTCACGTCCGTGATCTGAGTGAGCCCTTTGCGCGCCAGCAGCCTCGCCTCGTTCAAGCTCTGCGGCGTCAACGTGATCGGGTCCGGGACATCGGTGCCCGGGTCCCGCTCGCGGTAGCGGTCCGGGCTCTTCATCATCTCGGACAGCTCGGCCCAGATGTCCTTGTACGCGAGGAAGGCGCTGAAGAGATCCTGCGTGTACAGCGAGCAGAGGTCGTAGTCGAGGATGCGGAACCGGTCCCCCGCCGGGTTCCGCGCGTCGGCCTCGTTGAAGCTCCGCAGGCTCGTGTACCGCGTCAGGACGGCCGAGGTCCGCTGCGCGCACGTCTGCACCAGGTGCGGGAACCGCGTCGCCACGTCGACGACGGTCGCCAGGTCCCACTTCTCGTCCGCGGGCTTCAGGTCCCCGCCGCCGGCCCAGTTGACGGAGATGGTGGTCTCGGTGTCGTCCCAGACGTCGCTCTTGCTCTTGTCGAGGCCGTTCTTCGTCCCGACGGACAGGCCGGGCGCGGCCGCGATGGCGATTTCGGCCTCGGCGGCGGCTTTGACGGCGGAGACTTTCGACTTGTCGCTCACCTTGATGCTGACGATGGCGCTGAACTCGCCGCCTTCGGTGAAGCCGCTGATGAAGCAGTCGCCGAAGACGTCGGTGAATTTGGAGTTGTCCATCTCCGGGATCGGGTTGAAGGTCATCTTGTCGGCGACGGGGGAGGTCTCGTTGGTCACTTTGACGGTGACGATGTAGTTGAGGTCGGACTGGTTGACCTTGTTCTCGTTGACGACGGAGGCGCTGCCGGAGCCCTTGATGGTGCCGTATTTGATCGAGGCGCTCGACGAGATGTTGAGCGCTTGCACTATGTCGGACACGTTGTCCACCATGCGCGAGGAGTAGGTGACGATTTGGACGACGTTCTTGTGTGGCGGGGTCAGTTCGGCTGGGCGGACCGTTGTTGTGGGGACGGAGAGGGTGTTGGGACCGGTGGCGTAGTTTCCGGGTGCAGACGAACTCGAGACCTTTCGCACCATGGCGACTGAGTGGGAGGCATCTGATGCTAGTGATTCGGTGCTGCTTTTTGGGTTTAGTGTCGTGTCGGCGGATCCTGGGTGCAGCGGTGAATGGGGAATGGCTGGCTGGCTAGAGCGGCGGGCGGCGATGGAGCTGCTGCTGAGGCGGGCCTTCCTGGCGGGCTCGATGAGGACGGCGTTTTCGATGCAGATTTCTTGTGTGTATGAGTTAAAGCTGGTGAATTGTTAGTGAGTTATTGTTGTCGGAGGTGAGGAGAGAGAGGGAAGAGAGAGAGAGAGAGAGAGAGAGAGTTACCCTTGTCCAAGCCTCATGGCATTCGTGTACGGTGCAAGGAACGACATGCCGCTGGAACCTCGGGAGTTTCTCTCCGCTTTGCTGCTTTGGTTAGCCAGCTTGTCGACGGGCTTTCGCCGGTTCTT